AAGGGGAGAGCCGTTCGGCTTAGAGGGAGCAGTAAACCCCCCTTGTTGTCGTAGACTCTTCATCTGGATTCCTTCTGCTGCAGTTGTGGCGCTGGCTGGTTGAGGACGGCCCGCTGCGTTGCTGCTGCTGCTGCTGCTGCTGCTGCTGTTGCTGTTGCTGTTGCTGCTGCTGCTTTGGCCCGCGCGCGGAGAGGGTTGCTGCTGCGCTTCGGCTGCTGCTGGCGCTGCTGCTGCACTTTGTGCTGCAGCAGCAGAAGCCGTTGGTGCTGCTGCTGCATTTTTACCTGCTAACGTAGCTTGGGAGGCACCCAGGGCGTTGGCCGCCATGGTTGGCTGGGGCGGCTGGTGGCGGCCGCGGAACTGCAGATGTATTCAGGTGTATGCTGACGTCGTCATTCCCTTTTGTGTTTGTCAGATGAGTCAATGGGGTTTTTATAAAACATGTGTTTTACATAAATGTGGCGCTAATGACGCGAGAAAGCGCAGCCGACCCGCGGAAGACCGCTTGCGGCCACTCTGAGCTGTCCAGACAGCTGGCGGTCGGTCTGTTCAACTCTGCACACCATGTGGGCTTTTTATGTTTATTTTCTGAAAAAAAAGACGAATTTACGCTCCTTTCGTCTTTTTATCCGTAAAAAATAAAAAAAAAGAGAAATTCATGTTCTCGTTTCCACTGAATGCCGGGGCTGCCGCTTTCTGTGTGTAGCGGCGAGGCAGATCGACTGACTGCAGCTGCAGCCCTGCGTGCACGTTTCCGCGGTAACAAATATATAAAGTAAAGAATTATATATTTATACAATTAAAAACTTCAAAATTATGCTGTTTGCGTTCATAGAAGGCAGATCTACACCGCAGAATACACAACAAGTGTTAATACACCACCTGCAGCCACCACCAGGGCCTCTTGTGTTGTGCTCGTCGCTCGGGGCCATCGCCTGCATCCCCCCAGTATTTTATTTATTTTTATTTAAATACTTCTTTTTTTATATATTTATCCTATATTCTTCAGTAGTTATCGTTCTAAACATCCTACAGAGGCCACCACCACCACCCTCCTACCCAGCTCCCCCCCCTGAGACAGCCAGTACTGCAGCAAGTGCAGCTGCACACCCGTCTCGTGTACACGTACACCGCAACAGTGTACACTCTACTAAACTGCAAAAAGTAGATAGAACACACCCACTGGAGCAACACAAATTATATTTCCGGCTGGGGTGCGTCGCCGACTCAGTACTGCAGTACACTGTTGAACCACGCAAACACCACAGAAATGCTGCGCATACACCCGGATATACTAGCCACATGCAAGCAGCATGCAGCGCAGACGTCTTCGTAGTGTAGCTAGCTAAGAACCAGTATCAGCTAACCGCAGCTAGCTGCAGCTAGCCGCAGCTAGCTGCACCAACCCACACTAAACCCCCGAGTTCTTTCTCTCTCTTTGATCTTGTTTAAAAGACAAACCAAACCGCCAACTCTCCTTTTCTCCGCTTTCCTTTACGTTATCAAGGGTTTAGGGTTTAGGGTTTCAAGGGTTTAGGGTTTCGTATACATATTATATATAATTTTATTATAGTGCATTATATTTACAGTATGCGTACTATGCTACATACAACAGAATAAAAACAAACAGGGTTAGTGCTGCTAGCCCCCGTGAGGAGCAGCAACGAAGGGGTTTGGTTTTATATAGAGAGAGAATAAACAAAAAGAAAGAGAGAGAGGGCTCCGTGCCTTCTCCTCTAGTCTACACAAATAAATATATTATATTATACATATTATATTATTATACATATTATACAAATATGCAGCGAGATACACATATAACGCCGCATGCACTACGAGGTGTACATACACCGCAGCTCCCGTGCAGAGAAAGAGAGCAACCATAACAACAAACACAAACATAAAATCATTTAAACAAAGTAAACAAAATCAACAAACAAAATCACAAAAACAAAATACAAAGTCAGCAGAACACTACACATGCACCGCTAAGGAAACAATAAAAAAAAAAAAAGAGAGAGAGAGGTCGCTAGATACGTCTATGTATATATGTATATATATAGATATAGATATATAGATATAGATATATAGACTAAGATATACATATAGATAGAATAAATATTTTATAATATATATACATATATATATACATATATACATACATAAAACATATACAATATGTACATACACCCGCCCGCGGTATACATATACAACCCTACGGGGGTGATCCAGCGACGAAGATATTATTAACTGCACTTTTGCGGTTTTGCTGCTTCGAGAGCAGCAGGCCGAGGAGAGTATGCAGCAGCAGCAGCAGCAGCAGCAGCAGCAGCAGCAGCAGCAGCGGGGCTGTATGCAGCAGCAGCATCTGCATGCATAGCTGCAGCATCAAGCCCCACCCGTCCACAACGAACTGCTGCAGCGCGATGCAGCAGCTGCAGGCCGAAGATGTACTTGTCCGCAGCCTGCGTGAGTGCTGATCCCTTCTCGCTGCTGCTGCTGCTGCTGCTGCATGCAAGGCGATTCGCCGCTGCTTCCTGTACCCAGCCAGGAATCCTGAGCGGCATCATCTCTTGCAATTCAGTACAAGACCAGTGTGCATGCGCATGCGCATGCGCATGCGCTGCTGCTGCTGTTGCTGCTGCTGTTGCTGTTGCTGTTGCAGCCCCCAGGGGTAGCCCACAACGACCCTCTGAGTCTTCTGCATGCGCATGCATCTGCTGCTGCTGCCGCTGACAGCGGAGTCTGCTATGACGCACAGAGCGGCTCCTCACGAGGCGCGCTCGTGCACGGGCCGCTCGTGCGCTGCGGGAGCGGCGGCGGCGGGGGGGGGTTGTAGTGTGTGTTGCTNGTGCACGGGCCGCTCGTGCGCTGCGGGAGCGGCGGCGGCGGGGGGGGGTTGTAGTGTGTGTTGCTGCTACAGTGAAGGTCCTGGTGGTGCTGTATTTGTTTCTGCGTTTCTTTTGTACTGTGGATAGGGTTGAATCGCGTGTAGTGGTGAGCATGCGGGCCGTCTCTGAATACCCATAAGAAGAAGAAAAAGAATCAATCCAGGATTGTTCTGGTTGCCTGCGGTGTCTGTTGAGGGCGTGTACAGCTGTGAAGCTATGCTTACACCACCATAAACCTAGAGAAAGAGCAGCAACAGCACATAGACTAAGCACCACTGCAACACATAACACCTTCAGGTCAAGAGTAGATACGCTTTCCTCCTCCGTCCGGTTGCACGCGGGCAGATCGAGCTGGGCCATCGGCAGGGCGCTGAGAGCGCGGGAAAAACTCAAGAAGAACAAGTTAAAAGAAAAAAAAAACAACAAATATAAAATGAAAAAAAAAACCTGAGGGTACGATCCGATCAACCCCTACAAACAAAATGCTGAGATTGAATACATACAATACGACGACGACGACACACGCGCTGCCGAACTGCGTATATGATAGATGCTGCTATCGATATGCAGCTGAACTAGAGAAGAAAAAAAAAACGAAATATATAAAAATAAATAAAAGAATAATAATAATTCTAAAGATATAGGGCGGCCGCCGTCGCCACAACGGAAGATCTATCAGCAGGAGAAACAGGAAACTAGAACAGCAGCTCTGCCTCTTGCTCTTTTGTTTCAGAAACCAAAAGAAACAGAGGATATCTTCGGCTGGCCCAGGGGCTTTGATAAAGTTGTATTAGTATAGACACCATCACGGGCACAAAGAATAGCCGAATTTACTTGAGAAACTGCTCAAGCTCGAACCATCGTGCAAATTCAGCTGAGTTCATCTTTCCTGTTTCTCTGCTGCTGTATGCACTGCGATTCAACTGCGTGGAAAGCGAAGGAAACGGAACCTCCATGGGTGTCAACTGTTAGCTATTAACCAAGAGTAATGACATATTCATGCATTTCTTTCTTCTCAATAAACCTGAAAAGAAAACAGGGGTGCTCTGATGCTCCGATGCACGCTGTGACCGGCTCAGCACACATCACATGCAGTGGGGAGCAAAGAAGACGAAATCGATGCTCATGAACGGCCTCATAACATAATGCCTTGCAACCCCAGTTTTATACAAAGAAATAAAATCAAAACACCCCCGAAATAAACGGCCAAATAGAACAAAAGGTAAACCTTTTGTTCTTAATTGACCGACTGAGACAATGAGATCACATCACTCACACGGAAACAGCAGAACGAGGGCACTACGATCGTCGAAACAAAAATAAAGAAATCACAAATTAAATAAAATTAATATTCAATTGCTCCCCCACAAACAAAATATCTCTCAACATAGAGACAAAGCTGGACTTGCAGCCGCCATACCTGTACGGCTTCGCCGGCCTCGCTGCTGAACGGCAGCCCCACTCTATACATGAATCGACGGGCCCCGAAGTTGAATTTGTTTGTTTCTTTCTGGAAATTTATTGGTATTCTGATATATTCTTAACATTTATTCAGTAATATAAACTCATAAAGTACTTTGCGTGCTCGCACACCTGAATTTCACCTCGTTGTATTCGAATTCAATGCTGATCACCTCAGCACGAACGGCGCCGAGATGGCGGCCACCTGCACAGGTAAGCTGCGGCGGAGGGGGAGAGAATCTATTCCTTTTTTAGTTGTAGAGCATAAGGAAAAGTAAGAAGCGAAGAATATAAATACATTGTTACTCTTGGCTTTGCGTGCGGCTTGTTAGCAGTGGTCCTCCCGGCCGCGCACGTTGGCACTCTTGCAGTGCAGAGCATTCTTTAGGATCATAGATGGTGTGACTCTGAACTATTTATGGCAAAAAATTGAAATTTGTCTATATGGAGTACATAAGCAAACTACTCAGGTATCCGGTGAGCAGAACCAGATACGCAGGTGCCCTGTTGTGCTTTCTCCCCTCTTGAATAACAACTATCGGGAGGAATGCACCGCAGGGTGGCGCTCAAAACAGAGACAGAGTAAACAATAAAAGCGTCTACAAATGTTTCATGGTGCGGCAGACGCATATGTCGGCTCTGCTGCCCCTATGTATGGTATTTGAGGAGCACGGGAAAAAAGGAATTAAACACCTCCCGAATCTCTGCTGTCGTCCTGCAGCCGGTGATGACAACTTTGCCGCTCACGAAGATCAGCAACACTGCTTTCAACGAAGGCGTAGGGTTGTAGCGATAGACGAGTCCTGCGAAGCCCAAACGAACCCCCAGATAGAAAGTATTTACTTCGTGCGTGGCTTCATCCGGAGAGCAGAGATTGTTAAAAAGAAGAAAAAAAAAAGAAACTGAGCTAAGAAAGAGATGTCAAGAGAATAGACACAGATATATTAGGATCTAACCTGCAAACAATTCCGGCTCGTAGCTGCAGAACTCCTTATGATCGAACGCCAGACCCTCCAGTCTCACGGGGAGGCCGCAGTCGGCCGTGGCGACGATATTTTCGATTGCAAATTCTGTTAGTTGAATATTTGTGAAACTCCGCTTAGACAGAGAGCTTATAGGAGGAGGCAAGTGATGAGTTTCCTTCGGTGCAATCACTGACAGCTCCTCTCCCCCTTGCTTGTCAGCCCCTTCACCACCAGCCGCAACAGGCGGCTCTGTCTCTGCTTCTTTAACCCCTTTGGCGTTTCCATCATTCACAAGAGCTAGTTGATCCTCTGCAGGTGAAGGGGCCCCTGGCGCTGACGGCAACGCCAGAGGCCCACCGCGCTCACTCCCTGCTCCCTCGGGGGGCCCCTCGCCTCCTCTCTGCTGAAATGACAAAGCGGGCTGCCGAGAAGGGGGGCCCCCAGCAGTCGAAGACGGACAAAATATCGCCTGCAGCATCTTCACCAGCAGACGAGCTGCACGCAAGGCGGCATCCTCGCTCTGTGCTCCGGTCACCATCACGCGCCCTGCCGGCACAGAAACACAACAAGAATACTGATATTCAAATAGATAAACACATGGTTCTACTTTACACAAAGCAAAAGAAAAAAAAACAACAGAAACCCTAGAAATATAAACAAACCGACAGCTCATACAACTGGAGTTTCGTAACTAAGCAGTTGCCGTCTGCATGCATGCACTGCAACCCAAACCCTTGTGTTTACAACTCTGCTTTATCGCTTTATAAAGAATATTAAATGAATATTTATTATTAAAGAAATTAATCCTGGTGAGGCTGAGCTGCCTGACACGGTGTAGAGGTGATAGAGGCGACAGAGAAGCCGCACCAGATCTGAATATCATGCCGGTGCACTTCGGCTTGCGCAGACGGACGATGCATGCGTTGACTTTCCTCGGGTTATACTCAGCGAAGCGACAGCTGACGGCAATACGCCGCAAGTCGAGAGCTGCGCTGTGTCGCCCCGCTACTGTGATGCGGCCGCTGGCAATGACGTTCTGTACATGCACCGGGTGGCTCTCTGCTGCTGCATCCCCAGCTCCCAAGGACAAACTGCTGCTTTGAAGGCCACTCACTTGAACCGCAGACGCAGCAGAAACAGGGGAGGAGGTCCCCCCCCCCNCCCCCCCCCCTGCTGCTGCTGCTGCTGCTGTTGTTGTCCGTGCTGGAGGCCGGCGGCTGATCAGAAGGCAAGCCAGAAGCGTCTGCTGCGCCCAACCCATCGGGTAGCAGCAGCGCCATGAGGCTGTCATCCAGAGAAGCAGCATCGCCTCCTGTCTGCTGCGTCTCTTCGAAGCTGAATGCAGCAGCACCTCCTGCTGCTTCTTCCTCTTGCGGCGGCTGCACACTGCCAGCTTCTTCTGGCAGCGGTGAACCCACCGCCCGCCTGCGTTTAAACATCACCAAATCATCTGGGGAGTCGCCCCCCCTCTTTGCATGCGCCTCCAAGGCATCGCCATCTTTTGATTCATCTTCTGACTGAGCCATGGCGGGCAGCCACACACGGGAACACGGGCGTGCAGCGCTGGCTGCTATCTGTACACTCCAAAGGCAACCTGAAACCGAACCATTCAGCCGCGCCCGACCACACCGCTTCGCTCGAAGTTGTCTACATCAACTCAAACTGAGTTGTCCGCTCAGAAACAGAATTTATTTGGTGACTAGCTTGAAAGCCGCGACGCGAGAAAACATATTCTTGTGCCCCCTGAGGTATCCAGACACCGCGAGAGTCGAAGGCACTCGCCAGAGATAAAATATATTCAATTTATTTTGTTGATAATCTCTGCTGCAAATGAGTGACGCTAAAGAAAGTCGGCACGGCTGGGCTGCTCCACAGACTCACACCCCCGGAACCAGCAGCGCTGTTGCGTTTATATATATGATCGCTGAGAAAGCAATCGTTAAATATAAACAAAATAAATAAGACTATATTTAAATGAAATAAATCAAAACTAACTTGTTTCAGACCTGCGAAGTTTTGCAAGCAGCAGAACTTCGAGACCGAATCGGACCGGATTCAGCAGCATGCACGTGGCTGCTGTATCGGCACAAATAAATTCTTTCCCCTTTTCTATATTCTATTGAAACAGAAGAAAACCTTTTGAATTAACCGTCTTAGTTAAAGAGAGCCAAACGCATGCCAACGCTATCATTCTGAACTGCCGCATGCATGCCGCAGCCCCTTCAACTCCAGCAAACGAAAGTGAGCTCAGCACAAACCGTCGACCTGCGTTCTTGCATTGGCTTCGTCAACACCAATAAAAATGAAAGAATTGTTGTCTTTTTGAGTATCTCTTCATATATGCCTTCGACAGCAGTGTGTTTTGTGGGGTTTATTTTTGAGTCCTCCGCTGCGCGCCGCCGGGCTGAGGCGATTTCTCTTTATTTTAATCAATTTCAACATTCGAATTTCAAGGAATTTCAATTCTTCAGCAACGAAACTTCGCCCCTACAACTGCCGCCGGGATGCCTGGCGGTCTGTCCCCCTGGGGTGTCTCACGGAGATGAATTGCCGCTCTTGTAGCGCGGCGGCTGACTTGCAGACAGCTTAAAAATAATACAGAGAAGAGAGAGAGATTAACAGCAGCTAGCTGTGGAGTCGTTCTGACCCCGTGAGCCGTCTCACACTGCCGGCGTAATGGCTTCTTGTTCAGCAGCTTCGCGGCTTATGCTGCCGCGAGTTGCCTCTGCTCCGGTGTCTCGACACCTCTTTCAATCGGGCGTTTCCTCTTTCCATTGCCCCCTCACGCATTCCCACTTTGAATCAAAGCAGGGGAATGCACAAGGTTTCTCTGGGGCCCGCCGCATCAGCAGTCTGACGCAGCTGCTAAAAGGCAGAGTCAGCAGCAAGAACGACCCCAAACTGAACCCACACCCAGCCGATGAAGTGGAGGCCCAAAGACCCCTGGCCCCTGACCCCTATGACAGCACTTATCAAATGCCTGCTGGGGCGCCGGACGCCAGAAACATCTCCAGAGAGCGCTTCCACCAGTTCATGCACGGCAAACCCCAGCGCTTCTCGAAGGAACTCAAGGTAATCTCATCCCTGTTCAGTAAATATATATATATATATATATATATATATATATATATATATATTGTTTGCGTATACGGAACATCTATTAACATAATGCATATATGCAGAGTTGTTGGTTTGCGCAGGTGACGGTGATGGGCTGTACTTTGGCGTGTTTCGGCATCGGTGTGACGTGGCTGACTGCTTACATAATGCGGCCGGATGACTTTGAGTGGGTTGAGGAGGAACGCAGGCGCATCCAGGAGGCTAAAGAGAGAATACAGCAGAGAATAGAAAGGGCTCAACAGATACAAAACGAAAAAAATACATAATGCGACGTTTTCAGCTCAGCGAGGCAGTAGAAACAACCACCCTGGTACTGGCAACCAACGAGAAGAGCAGAAAGCATGCATCTGTGCTTTGTATACTTGGCTAACTGCTCTTCTTTGACGAGGCCAGAACAAAAAGGAAAAAAAGGAAGAGGGGCCTTCTCTTGTGCTTCATCTTACTACTTGTCGTATGAGGGTGTAAACCCTAAACCCTAAACCCTAAACCTAAACCCTAGAGCCGTGTAGGCTACGATAACTAAACTACGCCTTGGCCTCTTTTGTTTTCTGGGGCGGCGCTGCCGCCGCAGTAACTTGCAGCTCTCTGTCTATCGAGACGCGGCGAACCCCCCGACATTCTTTCTGCTATCTACTGATATTCAATTCTTTTTCACTTTTCTTTTTCATCTTTATCTACTGATTTTCAATTCTTTTTCACGTTTCTTTTCATCTTTATCTACTGATTTTCAGTTCTTTTTCACTTTTCTTTTGCATCTTTATCTGCTGACTTTCAATTCTTTTTCACGTTTTTTTTTCTTTTTCAGTCCTCACTGAGGCTGAAGCGCGTCATCTTCCCTCCTTGTTGGCCACCACAATTGATGCAGAAGTGTTGCGTTCATTTAATCTCATAAATTAAATTTCGCATTTTTCAAAAATTTAATTAAAAGTTTAAAAACTGGAAAACTGCATATCTACTGGATGAATGAATGAATGCTGAAGAGGAAGCTGGAGCAGCGAGAGTTTCATGGAGCCGTGAGTAACTCAAACACACAGCTGAATGAAAATCGTGAAGTCAAAGCATATTCACAGTTTAGGGTTTCGGGTTTTGCAAACGCTTCTCTTGTTCACATGGACGCTTTCCAGAAGCGCATGCAAAAGGGGTGTGCATACACCGCTACGAAGCGCAACGATCTGCGTATATATGTATATGGATACGGGGCTTCATGGGTATTTGCATATGCAGTGTTGCATCTGAACAGTTTGCGATCATTCTCCAGTGCGGCCGTTCACATGGAATCGCTTCCTGAGGCCAGCTTTCCACAGGAAGTGATGACATCTGAACTGCTGCCAGTTACGAAGGGCTGCAAGCGTGCTGCAACGCAGAAGCAGCCGCGGCGAAAGAAGCCAGCAAAGGCTGAAACAGCAGCAGATGGCTCCACAAACAATGAAGAGCCGGCCCCTAGAGAAGTTGTTCTGGCGTACATGCGTCAGCAGAACCGGCCGTATAACCTGCAGCTGGTGAGCCGCTAGGTTTCTTCTTCGTTTTATCCAGCGCCAGCCTTCGATGTTTAATATCTTTTCTTATTTCCTTATGACTTCAACAGATATTCGATAATTTGAGGCGGTGCATCAAAAAGCCAGATCTCGAGCGTCTGCTTGACCAGCTGGTGGACGATGGATGCCTCATTTCTAAGGACCTCGGCAAGACGCGTGTGAGTGTGTTGTTGGTTACTTCTTTTCGTCTTCGGGTTTTCTTGTATTACGTTTCGGGTTTCCTTTCTCCCTTTGCATGCATACACGCACGCAGGTCTTCATGTATTCTCAAAGCCAGTTTGGCGTTTCTGTGGCTGAAAACGGGGATATTGCTGCTGAAATCAAACGTAAGGCGAGACAGAGAGTTGACGGCTTTCTGTTCCTTCATCTGCACTAACTGTTCTCTTTCCAGAGTTGCAAGAAGACGTCAGGGAGCTCGAACGTAGGCATACAGACGGGCTGTTTCGCGCCACAAGCCGCGGGATGTAATTTGTATCAATGCAGAGTTCGTTAAAAAGCAAACTGCACTGCAGCAACGCATGCAAGAAATCCGAAACCGCGGAGCCCTGTTGGACAGCCTCACCGCCAAAGTTGCTGCTGGTGCGTCCTTTGTGACACCGCTTGTTGTATGCGGACTCTAATCACTTGAGTGTAAATCAATAAACATTTTAATGGCTAAAAAAGCACAATCTATTTGTTTACTTAACCGCCTTCATCAACCTCAGCTGAGGCTGAACGGGCAGCAAAAGAGGAAAAGCGAGCCGCAGGAAACGCAGCAGCGACAGTGACAGCAGCAGAAGCATCTGCTGCTGAGCACCTGCACGCCAAACTCCACGCTGCCTGGGCTTTGCAGAAACGGCGTTGCCTTCAGCTCGTGACGCTCCTCTCAGAACGGGCGCAGGCGGACCCGCAGCAGCTACAAGAGGAACTCGGCCTGGAGAGAGACGAAGACTTCATCCCCCCAGAGGCCTATTCAAAATACGATTGAAAGCAATGAAACTAAACCAACAAATGCAGACAAACCATGAAACGCAGACTCTAAGCACCTCAGCAACTGCTGCTTAGCAGCAGCGCAGCAGCACTCTTAAACAGCTGCACAGCACAGTGCTGTAGGTTCCTCTATTGAGGGGCCCTCTATATGAATTCGTCCACAAGGGACAGACAAAATATATTTCGTCAATATTTCCCTCAGCTTGAGAGAGAGAAATTCAAACTCTCCAACACGTCGTTGACTTCAGCCCTCAGTTCCTTCGTCCCTCACCTAGCAACTAGAATTGCCGCTTCCAGCATCACAGTTCCTCTCTGCGTGCATGCAGCAGCACGTCTGCTCCTGCGCTTCGAGCTACAGCGAGACACAGTAGGCCTCGCCTACACGGCGTCACCAACCGGCACTGCTTGCTGCATCTGCAAACACAACTTTCGAAGGCACCGATCCAGCAGCCGAGGGGCTGTGACGGGTGAGGGTCGCTACCGCCTGCAGCTGCTGCTGCCCTCCACCAACAAAACAGAATCAGCGTCTCATAGCTCAGACTCTTATGAAATGGTTTCGTAGCCACTGAGCCCGCGGAACACATCAGTTTTTGGGGTGTCTGTTGGGGTGTGTACGTGTGCATCCGTATCATTGAAATCTACGTTGTCTGTCCAGTCCCACGGCATGCCATTGCCGCCTGAGTCGCTCTGCGCGAACTCTCCTGCTGCTCCTCTGGTGGAGCTGAATGACCTGCTCAACTTCATGCATGCATTTACAGCCCCCTCAGAGAACGCGAGCGCCTGCCGTGAAGCAGAGTCAATAGTCTGCGGCAGCCAGACGCTGAGTATACGCCGGGCTGGAGAGGAGTACAGGCCCCGGAGCTCCCGCCGCGGCACCTTAGCACCAGCACTCCCTGAGGAAGCAGCGTCCCCTACACCTGTACTTGTTGCTGCTGGGGACCCTGTTGTGTACTTTGTTGCTAGCTGGAACCCTTGCTTATCTGTTGCTGATGTTGGGCTAGATGAGGCCTCCACGAGAGCCTTGACGCAGCTGTCATAGGAATTCACGTTTGCCGAAGCCGCCGCTGCATCCTCCCCTGACTTCTCTCCTGGGAAAGCGGCGTATTGCAGCTTTGTTTCCTTCCAGTCTCTGACTCCATATATAATCCATGCAAACACCAAAGCGCAGACACTTATACGCAAGCATAGCAGCAGCAGACGATGCAGCAGTTGCCACAAACCCTCGTCCTGGTTCTCCCCTGAGTCCGACTTCACGCCGTGATATTCCTGTGGAGCTGCAGAGGCCCTCGAGCTTTGCTTTTGATGTTCCCCCGAAGTTAAAGGCAAATGCTTTGCTCCACCGGAGACCTCTGCTGGTGTCACGCCGCCGTCGCGCTTCGCTGCTGGTTGTTCGTGCGACTCGGGCGTGGCATTATTTTTGTCTGTATTGTCCTTCTCTTTCGTGTTCGAGTTTGGGATCAGTTTCCCTGAAAGCAGAGTAGCAGACGCAGCTGAGGGCACAGCTGCTGCTGCTCCACCGCTGTAGTCTACAAGGGTAGGGCAGGCCGCTGGGGTCGTCAGCACCATGTTGAAGTGGCAAGGGTCCGGGTGTTCACAGAGTTCAAATTTGGTGGCCGATGCTGCGTTTCCTGCTGCTGCAGCTGTATCCGCTGCACCTGCCAAGTTAGGACACTTGAGAACAACGTGAGTGTGGAGAGATGACTCGGGACAAAATATGTGTACGTGATGCATGTGCGCTTGCAGGCCTTCAAACGGGTTGTTCGTATTCAAGGGCTCCCAGGGGGTTGGGTCGTCAGTGATCTCCGGCGCAGACCACAGGCCGCCGATCCCGTTGCTGTCAGGGTGCTGCTGCAGCCTCTCATCGCGATAAGAATACAGCATAGTGGTGTTTGTGGAGAGGACGTTCTGCAGGCACTCGGTTGTGTCGGCCTCCTCTTCTCTCGTCTCAGCTGCTGCCAAGGAATTGGAGGATGGGGGCGGCACCTTCAGAAGATCCGCTAGCAGACGTTCGATCTCCTCGTGTGGTTCATGAGGTTTTTTAAGTTTCGCTGCAAACTTGAACAGCCGGCCACGAGAGCCGTGGCAAGTGTGCGGCAATAGTCTGCACGGGTTGAATGTAAAGAATACGTGCTTGTCCTTGTGCTTGTGCAGCTTGTTGCGCGCATTCTTCCCCTTTGAACCCCCGGAAATACCAAACATCAATGACAACACTGTTTGGAAAAATGGAGGGTACTCTTCAAGCTCAAAGAGAGGCTCAGAAGCCTTGCAGGTCCATCCCATAGGCGGAGCTGCCTGCACGACCTGCCCAAGGTCATACGTGGCGCGGGCATGCAACTCAGGGAATCGCACTGTAACAGATTTGTAAGAGCCACAAGTAGCCTCCCACGGATGAGCCTCGGCGCCAGGTTGTTCATGGGGGCCCCCAGAAGCATCTCTCCGTCCACCGCTTGCGGTGCCGCTGCCCTCTCCCTCGGCGTGAACGAGAGAGGCGTGGGAATGGCTAAGAGGGCCATTCAAGTGGCACAAGCACGCAAGAGGCTGCAGAAATATCAATAATAGGGCAAGACGAGCCAGTACTGCTGAGCAGGCGAATGGGCTGATGCTCGGGGCCATTCTGCTGGGGTCGCCGTCCTGGCTCCAATAGTAAGAAGATGCTTTCGAACTTCTGTGCTAACAACTATCTTTGAAATGTTTTAAAAGGCTGTCAAATGAGCTCTTCAGGAATGAAGTTTCAGAAGAGAAGGCCGGCGTCTGTCGAACACGACCGAGCTGCCCAGTGGGCAGCAGCGATGTGCGATGGCAAAGAACAGAAATACGTAGAATTCAGACTACATCTGAAGACAGAAGTAAAACAATCCCCTCAAAATATTAATATCGGCGGTTTTATATTTACCTCTTCGTAAGAGCGTGTGGTATGTTGCAATGTGCGCTGCGCGAGGACCACTGGACGAAGCACGGGACGAGCTGTCTCAGCTTTAGAAATGCAGCAAACCTTATTCTAACAATTACTTGAAATAAACCACTTCTTTTTCGTGAAAGATGAAAAAATACGCAGGCTTTATGCCGTAGAAGTGAGGGAGCTTGAAGGTGTCGTCGGCCGGGCTCGCTGCGTTGCCAGGCAGCAGTGCCGTCGAGTCTCACGAAATCCACGCCCTGCTGAAAGCGCGCAGGCGTCACCTTGGGTTCGTCCCGCTTCAATTAAAAATTAACTAACATTTCAGAATAAATTAGTCCATTAATATGCTCAAGCAATCTGGCGTTCACCCCCCGTAATTTGTCTAGTTTGTCCTCTGGCGTAACTGACTGAGCCTCCTCATACATCTGCTGTTAAGTACGGTTCCACATTCCACGGTGAAGGGCATTGTTATCTAGAGGCCTGAGCGCATGCTATTGGGCAGTGGGTGAATTTTAACGTCGGGATGCACGAAAAGCAAAACACTTACAGAGTAGTACGAACTTGCAGTAGCGTCGAGGGGATTATAGTAGCTCAGATCATTCGCTGCCAGGCCCCTCACACGCCAAGATCACAATGTAGTTCGTATGAAACACGCGTGTCTGGCCCTCTTTTAATTGAACATTTTGCAATGGTCGTTCGTACTTTAAAGCCAAATTGTGGTATAATCCAGAGAGTTTCCACAAAGGCAACTCAGCACAATCCAGAATTTGCAGCTTGCCTGTCTTCTTGGTTCCTCACTTCATGTCATACATTCAAAACGGCCCGTTCAGATCAACCGAGAAGCTCAAGCCTCCACAACCCCACCCTGGTAAGGACACGCTCCGTCCAGCCCATGCTCTTCCCAGGTATAGCTACTTTACTGCATGTTGCTCAGTAGAAGGCATCCGCCGAAGCCCCAGCTTAAACCTGCAGCAATAGTTCGTATCAGGAGGAAAATTCGAAGGAAAATTCTGTGAATAACATCGCCAAACATTATTGCACTGATGTACTCTTGCATAGGATGGAGATGATGACTTAACAGCAGAATAGCTGCTGTCTCCCTCCTATGCCTTCTTCTGAACAAACTACTCTGTTCTGGAATCCCTATGAACGCCAAATCTGTATGACTGCCTATCAGTTGATTGTTCGCCTGTTCCCCTCGAACTAATCTGAAGCATAAACTGACTAATAGTCCCAAACACCCAAATTCAATCTTTGAGTGTAGCGGCCACTCCGCAAAACTATCAAGCGACCACTGCCTGCAATACAACTGTATGAACAGAAACTTACCACCCCTGCAGCGCCTTAAGCTCTATAGCCCTCTAAGGGCTACAAACATGGTCCCCATTCGTAACCGGAATGCTACTGCGGTGAACTTCCGAACTTGTTGAGATTCCCTCTGTGCTAACAGCACTGTTGGCTGCTGTACTCATGCCTAAGACTTCCTTTCTACCAATTGCACCCTAGGCATTTCCTCATCTGAAACTATCCTCATTCTGCTGCGGCACTTCTCCCCCACGATACTTCCTTTCACCGAAATCTATACCGTCTATCCTTCTATCCGTCTCAGCTTGCTGCGGCTAACGGCCCTACTTCAACCAAAGAGCTCGCCTAATATCTATTCGTTCAAACGTCCCCAACACAAGTAACTGTCTATTTACACTGCCTACCTTTACGTGCTTCCTTCAACTGTTTAGAACGGTTATGAGGGGCTTTGCCCTCCTGAAATTCTTGCATTCAAAGTGAAACACTAAACCACGACTGTCATATCAAACGAAAGTTTCATATGGAAAACGACCCGCAAGAGACGTCTTCCAATACGTCGTTGCTAACAGGATGAATCGAGAGCTAACTGCTTGTCTGACTCACCGAACCCTCGGCTGTTCTTGCTTGCGTTCCGCTGTAACCTTCCACCGCTCTGAGCTATTGTGCCTGAGGTGACCTATATAACGGGTAAACTGTGTGCGCAATCACCCTATCCCATAATTATGGGCACCCCAGCACTTGCACACTTAAACACGGAGATGACTTCCTCATGCGCCCCTCTGCTGCTAACTGTCTGAACGAATAGCAAGCCTACACAACTGCAGCAGATGCCTACACGATGCAGTCAAACATCATACTTACTCTTCCCTGTTGAATATGCAAACCTGCTTCAGGGCCAACCCGACCGTGGAGCAAACTGCGCGTAGGTGAGATGGGAAGAAATGCGAAGCCCCCTGCGTCCACGCTTGCAATCACTAGCAAGACAACAAACCACTACTGCGGTGTTCCTGAATAATCAGTTGAACATACCTAGGATGACTTCGTCAGATCTTGCACGCGACTCCATAAACGAACCTCAACAGCATCCAACTGCCATTCTACCAAATAAACACCCAAACCAAAACTCCACACAGTTCTTAAAATTGCGCCTGGTTGAGGAAACCCTCAAAACCGTGCACACGAAGTCTGGATACACAAGGTGGAGACGCAGTTGACGTCTCACTGCACGACTTGCAAATTCAAGCATTCGTTAGTCAGCGCATTTCTGACTGCATTAGTACACACTGCGAAAGCGCGCAAGCCGTCTCGTGCGCCTTCGTTAGCTCGAGCATGTTCTGTACAACCCGTTGAAATTATATTTCGCGGGAAAAACCCCATCTAGCCCGTGCACTCATCTCAAAATGCGTGCTAGATGCAACAGGATACAGCTTCTGGCAGGGTCCAGGTACACACTGCCCAAGCCAGAGGTTATCAACCTCCGCCCTCTTGCTAAGCGTGAACTCAGAGGCACGCTCAACAAGAGAACATCCAATTTGCCTCCGAACAGCTGCACTACAAGCACTACTTGTCATCTAACTACCGATCAAAGAAAGGCACGGCGGCCTAGCAAAGCAATATTGAGTTGTCCATATTCACCGGTTAAGGTGAAGAACACTCAAACCGTAAATTCGAAGTTGTTGCCCACACAATGTGGCACATCGTCATCCCATCTCCTACATGTCAGACGAGCAGCGCCGCAAGCTGCATCTTCGGCCCCGTCAGTCTTTGATTTCCTTGCCTGACAGAAAACCTTCTTCACACTTTGCCCTCGTCCCATCAGGTTCTGCACAGCAACATCAGAGGCCTGAGAATATTGCTCCTATGCACCGCTACAGGCTCTACCCCTCCTACCGCCTCGTGAAACGTCCCAAATCCCAGGTAGGGCTCAAGGCAAGCGGGGAACGCATACCGCGACACTCGTTCCGCGACAGTGCTTTCGCGTAGTGGAACTAACAACTGTGGCATACGTACCGGCTTTCGTTTGCACCTGGTGTGATCATGAACTGCTCGTTTCATGTCGCCAACAGAGTCTTGCGGGTCGGATTTCCGCTGCTCAAAGCCTGTCCTTTCGGCGTCGTCCGAAGCATTTATTGCCCCTGGAGCCACAAGCGCCACGAAATCCAGAAACACCGCAGCTAGTTCACGCTCCTCAACGCATAAACCCAAGTAACTGTTCTGCGCCTCAGCAACCGCCTCCATCCCAATGGTGCTAGCGCATACGGCGTAGCACTGTGCTAAGGCTCTCCGTGCCCCTCCTGCTGAATCGACGCATGGAGGCGTCTGAGACTTAAAAGTCCTCCTCGTACCCCTGCGCCTACTTCTGTGGGCCCCTGAGTATTGCCAACCACGGTCTCCGAACTTTGTCTCCCCATGACTTTTGCACTGCGGTCTGGAGTGTTCCGATGAGGAGATGCTGCTTTGCTGAACTTCTTGAGGCTTCGGCCCGCCGCCGCCAGTCCAAAGGTAAGGCAGTGACGGCAGGCAGTCTGCTGAGTTGCCGCTGTTAAATGAATCCTTCTCAACCAGTTGAACACCTTGCTGCCCACTCGACACGAAACCCTCGAAACTGTCACACGGGGACGACAGGAGTGAAGCAAGCCTACTACGTCTTCCATTCGCTGCCCACGCGTCAAATCCAACCTCCTGAACTGGATCCCCAGCATTGCTTGACCTCATCGATGCTTCTACCCCACCAATCACGTTAGCTGCTCCTACCAGCGGCGACTCATCCGAAATCTTCCCCACAGGACAATTCGCCTTCAGGAAGCTAGCAAACGCAACTTCTGCTTGAGTACTGCCTCCGCTCAGTGCAAGTTCATTTGCACACTCTTCAGTTCTCTTGTCATCCCCAATCATATCCGTTCCTTCACACGCGGGGCCCAGGAGCTCCGCTGCAAACTCCTTTGCCTCGTTGTTACACCTCGACGGAATACTTAGGCGTTTGGAGAGATGGAGTGACTTAAGTGCTTCAACACGGATACAATCGCCGTCAGTGACTTCACAACCGCTACGGTTTGCAGACGATCCGCTTGATTCTTCAAGCAGCAAGTAAGTTCCGCAGTTACCGGGCTGCCGCAGAGCCGCCCTGTTTATTTTTGAAGCGCTTGGCTGTGTATCGAAGGCTTCCGTGCTGCCTCGCATCGAAGGCTCCTTGGCATGACAGCCTAGCCCGTGAGAAGTAAAGGGAGACGGCTGCGGAAGCAATGACGAATCGTTGCTACCGTGAGGCTTCGTACCACTCTTTCCCCCGTCAACCCTGCCGTCAGACCAACTGTCCATGCTGTCCATTTCCGGTGATCCACCGTGTTCGCAGCATGGAGAAGCTGGACTACCTTGCAACGTGGTGCCACCAGAAGACCTATCCGCGAGAGTCACCGTCACACGCAGTAACACGTAACGTGACCTCCACCAGCCGCTGCAAGGCCGGCTTTGCTGCTTGCGGCACTGCTGACAACCATCACCGCCTACTGCCATCGTTGGCAAACCTCTACACAGATCTGGCGGGCTATTTCGTGCTGTTACGTGGCTAACTTCTGAAGCAACCGCCCGTACGACCCCAGTATGAGAGCAATAATAAAGCGTAAATGCCTCCCATTCCTCTCGCACCACGTACACAACTGCCTCTGACTGGTCCCCCCCACTTCCCGTGCTCTCCGTTAATAAACTCGCCCCCTCCAGTGCCTCTAAGGCCTTCTGCCGAGTTTCCTCGAAAACGCTGTGATCCTGCCCTGCGCTGTCCTTCAAATGTTCCTGAACAAATGGGTCCGCGTCATCCGTCTTTCCCTCCGCCATCTCATCAGACTTCACACCAACATGGAATGGGCCTGCTCCTCTCTCGTTATCCCTGCTGCCAGGTGCTGTTGCCGCGTATCTGCTGAAAGTGGTCGTTCGGCTGTGTCTGCCTGACTCCTCAAAAGGCTCTTCAGGGAAAGCACCGCCTGCGCACTTGTCTCCGCCTCCTGTATGCATCTCGCCACCACCTTGCGGGGAACTGACGCAAGCGTGCGAGCCGACAGCAGCGACGGAATCATCGTACAAGCCTTCAATGGAGCTCTTCATGAGCAAAGCAGCGCAGTTCTGTGGCAGCCCTGGAAGCAACCGCCTCACCAAATCCTCCCTAGAGGGCAGCACGCCTGTGGTGAGTGTTCCATCTCCACTAGTATGCCATGATTTCCCCTGGTACAGTTTGCCGTGCTCCCCCGGAAACTTCGTAAAAGGCAATTTCCCCCCATCTCCAAAAGATTCAACCACTTGCTGGAAACAACCATCATTGGTTGGTGGAGCTCTCTGCTGCCACACAGAGAAGCTGGCATCTGGACCCCCTTCCGGTAAGCCATATACCTTTGAGGTGTCTCCGCCAGACCTCGAGAGATCTCGTTGGGCGCCAAGTTTACGAGGCTCCTCCAGCTTGTGTATGTGCACTAAGTCTTCCCCGAAACACTGGAAAATCCCGTCGTCCTGTTCGGCAGAAAGTTTCGCCCTGCCCGACGACTTCCCCTGCAGATAACACATAAATTCGAGGACCCCAACCTAAGCCGCAAGGGCAGCAGCTACAGTGGAAGGTGCCTACACTTTGACAACCTGCTTACCTGCCGTGCCCCACACCGTCCAGATCTATCAACAAAAGCCGTTTCTCTTGCCACGCTGCCAAGGATGCACTCCCTGCCGTTCGCGGTAGTCGCGTGGACCTCCTCCCTACATTCAGTGGCAATGCACCCGTGTCCTGAGCTCTGAGCAGCTCCATGGCTCCATGATGAAAGCTTCTCCGTGAAGCTTCCCTGCAACGCGCTGTGACGACCTGCTGACTTTACCCCACCTCCTGCCGCGAAATCTGCTGCATGAACAACCTGCTGATCATCTGTCACGGCCTCCACTTCGCCACCCTTAGGGAATGACGCCGCCGCAGACAACCGTACTTCATCCATCATGGGCCATCGCAAAAGTGAGGTATCGGAAGAGAACATCTGCACACAGCAACCTTCTCTATCAAGTGCGCCTCCACAAGCCTTCTGGTGTGCCCCCGCCATCTTAAAAACGATAACACGATGAACAGTCCGTATGTCGGGACCTCACAGGACCACCTCAAAACTTCGTTGATCCTCTACGCCTCCTCCCTCCTGATCCTATGTGCCGGCTGCCCCAACCCCGTACAAGAAAGACAACAGTTTATCGGAGAGCGCAGTACGAGACACCCACTTCGGCGGAGTGAGTGTTTTTCACCGGGCAACTGAGAACGGAAGAACCACCGATATTTCTCAGCGACGCTCACACTGGAAGTCAGTCACGAACTCCTGCGCTGCCTGCACAGGAGGCTCCACCAAGCGAATCCCTCGCGGCCACTCCTGGATTTCCTTCACCCTAAAGCAAGGCGTCGCCCCACAGTCGAGTACTGGAACCACTTCAAACGCAAAAGGAGTTCTTGGTGTGCCTCAATTGAATGTTTAAGACCCCTTAGGTATACGCACTTACTATGGAATCCAAGGAGCTCAATCCCCGCCGCCAAGCGGACCAGACGTGACCAGTCTGACCAGGAGCAAACAGGGGCAGACCTCAATTCATCCACACAAAACGGTACAAACTGGGAACATTCAAGTCTTAAAAATATATACACAACTAAAAAATCAGCTTACACTCTGAACCGCATCAACAAAACACCGGAGGGAGCCAGAGAGGAGGGCCGAGGGGGGGAAGGGTGGAATGGGGGGGGGGGAGGGGCGCTGCTGCAGAGCAGTCGATAGCTTCGGTGTCTTGCTGGAAAAAGCGGCTGCACACACGCACAATTTGACCTTCCTGTATAAACGGGAAAAATCCCTCACGCAGGTTTCCAAAAACCATTAAACTCCGCAGTGGTCGGGCGGCAATGCCGCAGATGCTTCACGTTGCAACGGCGTTGCCGTTGCTGCTCCGGTGCAGTCGGTGCACTCGTCCTGCGGAAACAGCTCGATGGCAATTTTCACAAGCAAAAAAACAGTATTACGAGGAAAAACCAACTCTAGAGTTGTGCAGAAAACTGTAAAATTCGTGAAAGCAAGCTCAAGCCGGCGTGAGGTCTGTGGAACCGGGCGGGAAGGAAAAACACTGAGCACATAGAATACCCATAAGAGCAATAATGCCTTTAAACGCATTACACACTGCTATATAGCAGGTTAGTTCGCAAAAATAAACTGTTATGCAGCACTCTAGAGGAACAACTACATCGATTGCTCCGCATGGGGAAGCTGTAGCTGTCTCAAGGCAGGGGAAGCTCAGCACGCGCTAGCAGAGGCGGCACTCCATCCAGGGAGCGGCAGCAGAGCTATTCACGCATCTGTTGATTCAGCTCACTGAATTTATGCCGAAATAAATATATGCAATTAATAAGGATAAACGTGATCCCTTATGGGTTTCCATCAAATAATTTATTGCACCGCGACGCGCAGAGACGCACATTAAGAGGACCCTTCAGTGAGATCGAAGCTATCAATGCTCCTCTCAACGTGTAAATATATCGGGCAGGGCGTATCCGCATATGATCGTTTCAGAACCGGCAGTTGTTTGCGATTTGCCAATTTTGGGCGGGTAAGGAAGTGAGCTAAGGGACCTGCTAATGTGGAGTTCCACTCTTCGGCCCCGACGTACGCAGTGTACACGAATTGTTTTATAGTTGTTCCAGTGTGCTCCTCACTACGGGGAAGAACCTGAAGGCTTATTTATACAGCTAACGGCGCACAGCTCGCTTCGCAACTCCCCGTAGAACGGCCTGGTAAGCCCCGCACTCCCCCAGTAGGCACTCCACCACTGCGCAGCAATGGGGTCAACGGGCCAGTGAGAGGTGGAGCACACACAAGGTTGTGTGTGGAACTTCTGTCCCTAATTCTAACGAACGATAATGGACTGGCAGGAATGCACGACGGCAGTTTAGGGACATTTAATTCCCGAGAACAGCGCTGCTACACAGTCACATCAATGCGTGTATATCTGTGAATGCCTGGGCTGGTCTGCTGTTTTGCACAGCCAATCCAAAAAGGGCATAGCATCGACTCGGCCTAGCCGCATCTATGTGGGGAGAAGCAGAAACCCATAACTAATGATTCGTAGCTCGCAACCCTGTCTCCCTGTACCTTGGCAGCTGTTTGGGTACAGTGCACGCACTACTGTCTTCAGCCGTTATCTGTGACTACTCCTGTCAAATCACGTGATGTAAAGCATCGATTTCGGCAAAAGCAAGAAAATAATCGTGTAGCCATACACTACACATGCTGTTCCAGGGTTAGCACCACTTGTTTCTGCCATCGCATGCTAGTCGAGACAGACATACAAGAAGTAAACTGATCAAACGACATGTTCCTTCGTTGCCCTTCGACCCGCCGTCACAGCCCGAACATGCATTCACTGTTTTAGGGACATTCAATTCCCGAGAACAGCGCTGCTACACAGTCACATCAATGCGTGTGTATCTGTGAATGCCTGGGCTGGTCTGCTGTTTTGCACAGCCAATCCAAAAAGGGCATAGTAGTTGGGGCAGGGCTGTGCAATGCCTTGCATGCGGAATGATATACCTAGTTCCCGAATGTCGCCCGTCACTTTCGGAATAATATCCATTAAACATATTAGACAGACAAGGTTAATACCATATAACCCCTAAACGTGTTCCCCAGGTTCCGCTGTCCCATTCAAGACGTTCCGTAGCAGAGCCTCAGTATCCTTCACGGTGTTACACCAGCCACTGGCATCGCTCATCCCCTTCATCAAGCTTCTCCCTTCTATACGTCCTCCGACGCATCCGAAGGTGCCTCGAGAACTGATTGGGATCCACCCGGGGGCGAAGCAGTCAAACTCAGTAGCTGCGGTTCAGCTGCCTGACACATATCCTCGCCGGGCGTCACCAAGTCCGCAGATGCTGATCCATACAGTCGAAGGCTTTGAGGCTTGCAATCGCTTGTGGCGACCAAGACGTCGCGGTGGATCAACCCAACACTAACATCCATAGACGCCTCGTGCCATGAACCGCCGGCTCCACTTCCGCTGCACATACAAATCGTTAAGAAACAATGACAACCTGTCCCCAAAACTTCTGCTCGGGCTTGGAAAATTGGCTACCGCCCTCGTTCTGGTGGTCACTTTTGTCTAGTTAGTTGCATGTGCTTTCCATGGGCCACGGCAATGTTCTGCTGTACGAACTCACCTCGATACCCAAGTGAAGAGTCGGACAGTCATCTCTGCTTGTGATTTCTGGTGAAAGATGACCATAAACGGCGAAGTCGGCCCGGCTGGAGAATCCAACGGGAGCTCCTTTGGAGTCGACTCACCTCTCCTGTAGAGCAACACTGACGGTTGCCGTGAACTTCCATCTTCATTTGTGGAGGCAGGAATGCGGACACCGACAATTGGAATTGACGGTTGTTCCTTAATGCTCCCACCATCGCCTGCACCTCCTGCAGCACCGTCCCCTCCTTGACTGCCCCCTCCAGCTAAACCAGCGCCTCCTTCAACTGGTGAATCTCTCGCCTGAGCCATGGACTGAGAATTATCAGTCGCTATCTCAACAACAAAATCAGAATTACCGTCTTCCCATCCATTTGCGGTAATTTTCAGAGTTTCACCCACTTTCAGACCGCCACGAACGCTTAATCTACCGCAGTTTGCTTCAACTAATCCGACTGAACCTGCAAGGGAAAAGAACACAAGACAAATCGATCCCGATACAAATTCTGGATCGGCCAAGTATCATCTGCCACTGGTATTGCATATCTGTTCCAAAAAAATTACAAAAATACTCACTAGAGTGGCGCTGGACCGAAGCACTAGAGGTAAGTGCCGAATCAGTAGCCGGAGGCTCATCCGCTGCAGAAAAAGACACGGGACAACGACAAAGCACTAAAGTTCGTTCGATCACCCAGACTAAGGAAGCCTGGTGATCGACAAAGTTGCCGCCCCGCTGACGTGCGCACGTTACCACGGTAGTCTACTCTCCACCAAATACTTCCGCCCCACAGTGAGCGTGAAGCCAAACGTTTCTACTTCTGCTACACAGTTAGAGACGCCCTAAACAACGCGTCTACGGCTGTTAAAGCAGTGTCCCTCCAAGGGCACTACCCTGGGGATAACCCTCTACTGCTCCACACAGTGACTTCCCGCAGCACAGACTCCAGTAGAACCTCAAGTCATTGAATTTTCAGAGTCGCTGCCTAACCTGGTACTTTTGTCCTGATTGCCAAACTCGAAGGCAAGGAAAAAAGCAGGCCCAAAGCGATTACGGAAAAAGCGCGAGCCATTGTGCAATAACACAAGATGGTTGGGTGTTTACGTTAAGATATACCTGCGAAAAATAAAAATGTATTTTGAGGGATAAGCTCTTAGAAGAAGCAATGAAGTAATAACTTCCACCAACATGCGGAGGCCTGAGCTCAAAAGCAGACCGTGCACAGGACTGCAGGCTGCCAGTCCGCGGGGTAGATGGCTAGCACTGTTTCCCTATAATATTTGGTTATTCTCACCTTCGCGATTGAGTTTTTTTAAGCTTTTAATGGCAAATAAATCAAAGACTTGTTGAGAAGCGGGTGATAAACTTGTGGACATCGAGGGTGTCCGCCATGGACCGTTCCAGACCACAGGGGTTCATGCCAGCTGCCCGGCGCAACCATTCGTGTAAGAAAACAAGACATGTATGCTTTGGATAATCCTTTAGTAGATGGCATGTGAATTTCCAGCACTTAACTGCTTCTTTTTTTAGGACGCGTTCGTCACCTTAGAAGGTGACGAAGACTGTGGCGCCGGGGACTCAATTCCTATAGTGCCATAGTCGCCTCATTTCGGTCGGGAGTATGGTTCTCCGAGACGTAGTGCAATATAGCCGTTAGTCCTATAACGATGGTATTATTTTGAGCAATATTTATTTATAGCGGGAAACTGGAAATAAATGTCAAGGAGAATATCGGACGGCGACATTCGGGTCTACTCGTCGACACTCATACAATGAGGACACTTCGAGTACCTGGTTTCAATGAAAAGAAAAAATATGGTTGCCAGGGAACATAGCGCAGGGGTTCCGCGTGCTCTGAGCAGCGTAAGTATATTGTTCTGTACCTTTGATTTTCAATCCCCACGCCCGGACGACCGCGTGGGGAACTTTGGCGTACCCTTCGCGGCCGCACCGCCCCAGTCTCTTAATTGGCAAACATCCTATAGTCCCAGCTACCGAGACACGATTGCAGTCTACTCATGGATCGTGTTGCGGTCTACTCATAGCTGGTTATTGCCGCATATTATACAGTGGTTTGTCTATCTCCCAATTCGTATACTTAGTGTGTTAATTACTACACACATGCTGAGAACAACTGCTACTGAGGTTGTAGTGCGCACGAGACTACAACATCCGCCTTTCACGTAAAGGTTTACACAGCAACTGTTCACAGGCCCGGTCACACTGGTGGTCCCTAGAGCACAAGAACAACTGCCTAAGAACGATGCACATCGCCATTGATAAACACCGTAATTCCAACAACCAGTACAAAATTTTCACCAGTTTGTACTAACCGGAAAACAACCTATTCGACAGCCTAATGAACTTCACGACTCTGAGCTTCTTCTAATCGACGAGCGCTGTTTCGCCGACGAACGACGCCATCCTCGCCATAGACCTGAACAACCGTCTATGTGAGCTGCGGGCTCTCACGTTACTCTATCATCAACGGCACCCCTCCATTTGACAAGATATTGTCTGTTCTCCTTCACCCCCTTGATCCATAATATACTACACTTCGTGGCCATGTGTGGGACTGCCCTGCGCACCTCATATTGGCAACCACCCTAGTGCTGCCTTCACATAAACCTTTTGAGGTTGGCGACACCTACCCTCAACAACTTTGGAAACACGAAGCACGTCATGACGCTCGTCGGTAGGAGCCAACGCTAATCGATACGCCACTTTGCCGTTAAGCTCCGTGGTTACAAATGCTGCACGATACCTGGGTTCAAACTTGGGGCAAGTATTTTGCACGGGTAAATTATTTCTAACGAGCCGGACCTTGTCACCAACTTCTACTCAACCCCTCCCTGGTGCACATCCTATAGCATGTGCATCCATTAAAGAGTACGCAGTAGGTTTTTAGCAGTCCCTAAGGCGCAGCTACTTCCAGGCGACAGCATCTGAGCCCGCCGGTGTAGACACAGTCGTCTTAAGCGCCAACCCGATTGCGATAAGAAATCAACTGTCTAGCACTTGCCATCAAGGTGCCACTCCAGTTCACCACCCTTCAGATTCAGTTTTGAGCGAGAGTTGGTACTAACGTCAAAACTAGAAGGTTCGGGGAGTCGCGGGGATATCATTCCCCGCCCCTACAGACTCTTCACCCTATAAATAAACACAGTGTCTGCCCAATCAAGCAGATTTTTGTCTAGCGCGTTGCATCGCCTCGCCCCTTTGATAAAAAATGGAAATACAACGGCCCCTCTTTCGCCATCTTAAGTGCGGATGGATAGATGCTGGGCTCATTGCGTGTCCGGTGATTTCCTGGGATAACGAGCCATATCAGGTAGGGAGCTCGGCGAATTTACAACAAAAGTGCGCCGAGGAAACGAATTGAGTGTTCGTACCGATGATGCAACTGCCCACCGGAAAACGTCTGTTAACCCTTATTCCATTTCCACGAGTGTCCCCTCGGCCAGATTGCGAGCAGATAGACACGCGCTTCTTCCCTCCTTCAAATGTCTCCACCCCTTGCTTTACTAGTAGCTCCGCAGATGCGCTTCTTCTACAAATCCTTCTCTAAATACTAACACATCTTCCGAAACCCCTCACGAATTCGCGTTTTACCGCTCCTTGGAAAATCCATCTTCGGCACTCAGTACGTAAACTCCCTTTCAGATCGAAACGGTAGTTCCTCCTCCGTAGACAACTTATTCTTTGCTAACGGTTTGAAATTGTGGGTACCATACTACTTTAAAGAAATCTATCTATTGTGAAGTTCAGTGCGTCATGCGTATGAAAATAACCTAAACTCGGGGTTGCACGTTTTAAATACTTCTAGCGTATTTTTGAGGCGCATTTTTGGGCAGACGGCCACAAAAACAAAGGGAAGCAAGAGATAAGTGCCAAGATAAAGGTACAGGTTCCGCAGAATGTCTATAGCCCCTGCTACAGCTGTTTTGCGCTGCATAGCCGCCTATACGTGGTGTTCTCCGCCAAGGTCTCACGCGACGCGTTCGACTCATGAACGCAAAATTGGTAAGAACCTATGCGTCACGCCAAGTTCAGACTCGCTGAAGGAACTAGACAACGATGCGTAGAGCAGGGCATAATGTCCCGTGCCGTCGCATTGGCCAATATTCATAGAACGCGTCGGTGCCTTCTGTTCGCAACAGCAAGGTACAGATAATCTCACTAGTGTTTTCCTTACTGCAATCATGAAAACACCTGAGTCTTGGCCACACAACCCCTCAAGCTCGACGCAGTGGATCGCCAACCAGCTCTATACTCTTCACGCTGGCAACGAATCACCGCAGTTCCTGAGACGAAAGCCACAACAGTGTGGTTCTCAATCTACTTCTATATCAAAATGAAGTTTAGGCTGTAAACGGAAAGCTGCATTTCGACCGCTCTCCAAGCCTTCGCTGTCGTTTGTAAACCTGGAAACGCACACACAAAAACTCGGTCAGCGCGTGGATAGGGTTTTCAGTCTTGCAGGCCAAGGCATTACTCGAAAAAGGTAAAACTCGAAACCTGCGGGCCATACCCGAAAAGGAACTGAACGGGTCCTGTATTGTAGCGGGAGTAACCCTGCAAATTGCCATTTCCACGCAGGCGGAGGAGACTGGCTATGGAGAGCAGCGGTCGGACTGAGATGCCTAACCATGGACGACCCTGTAAAAACGCGTATGGAGCCCAAACATGCGCCAGGTATTTAGCACTACCGGGCCAATCGTCTGAAAACAATTGTCGACCTTCAATGAGGCAACTGTGTCCCATTGATATCCCGAATATCGAGAATATTCAAGCATGAAGCAGGTGTAGTTTATGCAGTTTCGTAGAATGCAAAGGACCTGGACGCCGTCGAAAGCATGCACTTCTCCATGCATTGCCACAATTCTGTTTGATGGTGCCTACATGCTGTTGGCGAAGCAACGCAGCAAGCGGGGACCTAGATAATTCCGTCGCCATGGCAGAAAAGTCCCTGGCTGCTTTCTGAAGAAGAAGAAGATGGATTTCAACCAGAGAATGGTAGAATTTGCGGCACAACTGTCTGTCCCGGGCAGCTTTAGCAGAAGCGTCAGATATCTTGGCCACGTCAGTTTGCTCCAGTAATCCTGGAGGCGTCTCTCGGCTACCAAGCAGTGATTCTACAGGTTGCTGATCCGTAACGCCAGGTGCGTGGGGTAGTAGGAGCGCCAATCGCTCGTCCAGCGTCGTCAAAGCCTGTAAGCCCACGCGCTAACACCAAGTCTCCCATCGGCCCTGCGCTAAAGTCCTAGTCATACAAGCTCGGAAAGCTGCAAATGTCGGAGGCTGAAGCCTTGTACCCTGAAGACTGCATGTGTAGCAAGCAGCAGTGTAGCCGACCTTTCGAATAATTCCTGGGGTCAGTGATTCAAAACGCCGTGCGTCTCGTTGCAGTGCAGCTACCAGCTCTGCTCGGAGACTCAACCTGAGGTTGCTCTCTATTTGCAGAGCCCACCTGAATTACACCAGATGAGCGCCGCAACTCTCGACTCATGCATCACACAGAGAAAGGCAGCAAGCATCCGCCAACAAGTTGGGCCCCCCCCTTCTATTCAATGGTAGGAAACTCACCTGAGGAAAATTGTGCGTATTTCTCTCTCAACAGACCGTCTAAGCTCCTCGCGCAGTGCTCTACGTTGAAGTGAAAGCTGCAAGGACCGCACACCCATTGCGCAACTGGCGTACCACTCCTACCATTAGTCCCTTAGCGTCCCTACATCTGCAAGTATACTGCATTAGGGCCGCGGCACACCTGATACCTCCGGGTTCGGTAGTCGTAGAGGGTCAGTGCCTCGGACAGGACTCTTCGGGCCACTGAAGCATAGGATTGTCTGGCGGCGTTCTGCGGGTTTCGATCTTGGAGCTGACGCAACGCTTTCTGAGTAGGGAGAAACATGGAGACTGCAAACCAAAACCCTCGCTACACACGCTTTACCGAGGTGGTCATCCATTCGTTGCTGTTTTGCAGTTCTCTGGTGTTCTAGTCACAAAATCTATCGGATTTAGGATTAACCGCACCCTCGCATGAGCCAAGGAGAGCCTAAAGGCTGCCCCGCATACGTTCGACGATAGAGCATATCCAGGAAACTCAAATGCGTTGGGAGGACCAGAAACATGCTCTCTGGTAAGCAAAGCTGCCAACGCGTCTGCAGAAGTAACGAAAGGTAACATCCACACACCAAGTCGCACATGATATGGATTTGCAAAAACGACCGCATATTACGCGTTGTTGTGCTGGCAGTTCTCAGAGCCGATAGCCTGCAACATTTAAGAAAGCGGGCAATGTGCGTTTGCCTAAGCTATGTGGCCCAAAGCTTTGGGTTTGGTTTGTACCGGCAATCTGCTTGACTGATGCATTTCTTGGTTCAATCCCTTGTATCAGATGATCTATTTCATCTCGAGTATCCTTTCCTCGTTCGGGCGAATGCATGCCGAACACACCTACTCTGGCTGCAGCAATAGCATCGCACCCGCCCCAAACAATTCCTCATAAGCTGCGGCGCTTTTGCCCCAAGCCTAGCCCTCATAGTAACTACCTTGAATCGGTCAACGCTTGCCTTCGGCGCTGCCAAGCTGGGCGCGAATTTCCCGACGAATAGCTTCCTCCGTTGACTTCGACACCGGACCCTGCAGCGCCAAATTCAGCCTGTCGTAATAAGGCATCGTGTCGCTCAGTCTAGAGTAGCAGAAAACTCTTTGAATTGGCTCACACGCATCAATTTAGGTTAAACGAACATGTGAGACCTGGAGGAGAAAGGAATGAGTTCAGTCCGTGGGCTGGTTACTTCTCAGCGTGTAACTGCTACTCGAAAAATTTACCGCTAGAGTCCGTAAGAGCACTGGGCCAATTGGCCTGCATTAAAGTGCATCATCACTAGATCACCTGTGGAAATTACCTCAAGGGCAATGACGAAAAGCGGCAGCCGGCGAGGTCGGTTTGTTCCAAGGGAAACTGGCCCCGTTGATTTGTTTGGGCGGATGCGGGATTGTCTTGTACTACTGCTGGCCTCTTCTTGAAAGATTTCAGCGTTAATCAGCTGCCGCATTGCTTGCAGCAGCTGCAAGACATCTTCTGGGAGGCGAACGTGAGCATGGGCCGGCTTGGGTTCAGTCCGAAGTGGTGGCTGACATTCCTGCCTGACCCGACCGTTGTCCCGTGTTGCTGTTGGGCCTCCCTCCTCTCCTGGTGTAATACCTCCCAGGCAAAGGAGCTCTCCATATTCGTTACCTTTCCAATGGTCATGTGACCGTGGTACCGAAACAAGTCCGTCATAAGAAAGAGGTACAACCAGTACGTCGGCAGCCTCGACTAGCGTGAGTGCGATGGCTCGGACCATAGCCGCCTCTGTCAATGCGCACACGCTTTCTGAAAGGTCTCCTAGCGGGTCGGTGTAGTCACTAGCTTCTTTTTTGGCTGCAGTTGTACGGTAGCCTGCCACAGGATTTCCCGCAGGTGCAGCGTCTGAGGCACGCGGCTCCTGGGTATACCGTGCTGATACGGTGCCGTGTTCTGAGTTAGATAATCTGTCGTTTCCTCGATCATGAACAGCAGATGGCAGCTCGAGAGTTAGCAATACGGCGCCTGACCGCAGTTTTTCCAGTCCGATGTCTGGAAGCAGCACATGACGCAAACCAGCATCGCACTGGAGAGCAAGTGTGCTTCAATGGCCACAGTTGCCGCTGCTATCTGTCCCTAATTGTGCTCTTTGGAATCAAAGCCGATTTCTGTACGGCACATTACAGTGACACAATAGCTATTAATGATTACATATACGCAGGCAACACACTTGTTGAGGCGCACAGTTGGCGCCAGGAAGTTTCCGCTGTCCCTTTTACCACATCCATGGTCTCCTTGTTTCCAGTCGCATCCAACGCTGGGTCGGCCCTCTGCTGTATGCTGTCGGAAAAGTTTGTATCACAGCCCAGCAGCTCTCTTAGAGCCAGGCGCTGGAGCGGGCGGCTGATGGCTATCACAAAAGGAGCCGGCTTCTCCTGATCTCCATCTCTCCACGGTGCTATCCCAGTCGAAGGAATACTCCGCAGAAGGGCTACGGCCCTCCCAGTAGCTTCTTCGCGCGCATGAGCACTCAACCTTCGCAGTGCCTGCAGCCACAACAGAAGTCCCGCTGCCCTACTTTTACAAGAAGCATATTGTTGCATGATTGTGGCCGTCCTACTCAATCATGATGGTACTGCGCTACTGGAAAAAAGGGCACTCTGGTGGAATTGGCTTAGCTCCATAGCACACCTCGCACTGCGGTAATGGAGCCAAGGGCCCCTGCTTCAAACAACCCTGCGTATACATGCACACATGGAGCAACATCAGGGTGTCGCGGGACACGCCAGGTAGCCTACATATAAATGTGCACATCGCGCAACACCAGGGTATCGAGGGTCACAGCAGGTCTTGTGCTCAATATCTGCGCGTGACCGGCAAGCGGATGTAACCTACTCGGATTTGTGATCCGTTTGCTCGTCTTAGGCAGAAAATGACGGCGAAGAGCGCCCAAAGTAAGCGCATCGTCGCAAAAGCAGATTTGCTCGGTTGCCAATGCGAGCTAGCCTGCAGTTCCGGGGGCTTCTGGGGGGGCAAAAAAACAACCCCAACCACAGAACCCTCCTTAACAAGCCAGTTGAATAGTTCAGGCCGGCCCTGTGGACATACAAATGGTGAAGCACACCCCTCTACACAGGATTCACTCGAGCATGGGGCGCCAGTGTGGGGCCCGCGAAAAGCATCAATATTATCACCCAGTTAAATTTATCAACTTTCTGAGTTTAAGCTTGCTTACGAAACTTACGTTTCACCTTTTTTAAACTAACTAATGCGCAGCAGTAATAGCGCAGTTCAGGAGCAGCCATGCTGTCGGCCGACAGCGTCCCTGTAGTGCCGGGCACTACACTGTTGAACAGGAAGGAGACATTGAGTTCACGTAGTTCTGTCTAAAAACTTTTATTATATAGTTGAAAACAACTAAACTAGCGGAGCTTAGCTTATAACGCTTTTGTCGAACGGGATACGCCTTGGGTGCACTGTGACTGAGCCCAAGGTTAGGGCTGGCAGTGGCACAGCCGGTGCCGAGGACATCTGTACACGCAAGACCACGCAGACAGAAATTTTCTTTTACAGAACGATTATTCTTAAGAATGTTGTGTTATGGCTTTTAAGGTATCAACTTGAAGTTTTTTACTTAGAGACAGGGGTTTATCCAGTGCAATTCATTCGGGGTTTCACGTGTAGGAGCCAAGCAGGGCCGAGCTCACTGCAGTCATTGTATTGCCGTTCGGATTCAGCAGGCCATCCCCAAGTTTTCCAGAGGCTTCTCGGGGTAGAACATCGAAGGTTTAGTAAAGAGGATTCGACAATGGTTCTCGGAAGAAAGTCAGCCTTAATAAGGATCGACCGACCATCATTCGGCCAGTTGTGCTAGCTCGCAGTATACAACAAACTGAAACCAGGCCCTGGAATAATAGGAACTGTCGCCCAAATCCCCAATCGTGCTTGACGAGATAAAGTTGACCCGCCGAAGCTTTAGTTGAAGACCCCTGCATGCGTCGGTGCTGCCCAGAATCGGGCTTTGCCCGTCGGTCGCTAGCGTGTCTTGGTATTGTCTTACACTCGTAGGCATTCGCTGTGCTGAAATAATCGTTTACACCCTCTGGATGACTGCGCGAAGATCTAGGCGTCAAGCAACGCAACAACGCTTACCTTACTATCTAATACTGGCACTCTCGCTGTATGAAAACACGCACCGCGACCGCATTGGAGTGCTCCGCACTACAGTCATTGCGTGTTTGGGGCTGTGGAGATGTGCAGATAGTTCATTCGATGGTAACTGAACTCAAGAATAATAATCCGATGGCGTTTGGACTCTAGATTTGATTGCAAATGTCCCAAGCGGGGGTACTACATATATTTTATCTTAGGCAGTTTAATGAACCCGCGTAGGTACCTAACAGGATTAGGCCCACTACTACCTGTACCTATGGCTAGCTCGGTGTGACCGCCTTCACACCTTCATTTTCTGCACATTTTGGAACTTTACGGTGTTTTGGGCTACTTGCAACCCTGCCTCAGCGCCGTGCTCTTGCTGGGCGCGGGCAGCGGTTCACCGCCTCTTTTTGATTAGGTTGGGATGTCCGCTAGATGTATTTTATATTAGGCAGCTTCTTGGAGACATCTCACCAGGCCCTAGCCCTAGGGGTGAATGGTGTGAGACCCAGTAGACGAACAGTCAACGCCTGTAGTTCTACAGAGGTTGCTCGTGATGACGCCGGTAAAACTGCACGTTCAGGGCCCCAACTCCAGTGTCCACTGCACAAACTGCTTGCATGGATGTATACTTTGCCCTCGTAGAAGAGGACCCCACTAGTTTCATCTATGCTGCAAATGAAGGTTCGATCAGTGAGACGCGCACCTTCGTGCGAACGCGCCTTAGAAAGCAAGGACGCCGGTGCACAGACCATTCTCACATACAAATCAAAACTTCTTGGAAGAAATGAAGAAGGTCAAATATTTTCAGCCTTAGACATAACCCAAAGGCGACTTTCTTCGCGTGCCGGTTCGCCTGAAGAAAGGGGACGCAACCGGAGTCAAGAAAAAGCCCAATATTACCGTGAATGGTCAACGGGCACTTATTCACTTAGCCACAGTCATTGTCAGCATTGGACGCAGCTCAGTGCTGGGCTTCGTTTGTGTACTCGTTAGGCGTTTCTGTGTCACGAGTCAGGAGCCCCCAATGTTCTTCCACCTATCTGCCATCCGGAACCGACTACTTTTTGTGTGATATACTATCCCCTTCGTTTGCTTATAGCGAGCTGAAGACAGCAGCACGTAGCTCGCTACCACTCTACGCCTGTTTTACTTTCCTAGGGGCAGGGCGCCACCCTTTGGTGTTTGCCAGGTTCTAGCTTCGCGCACATTTTTCCTGTTTGCATTCCCCGCAGCCGTCGTCTGGCGCACGTCAGACTGCAGAATGGCAATAAAAAACGGATACAAATAAACACATGGAGTAAAATGCTCTATGGGTGCTCCAGCTGCCTGTTGTACGAAGAGGAATGCTGCACAAACGTCGCCTCCAACCGGCAGCCCAACCTACTAATTTTCATGGGGTCTGTGGACAGATTACTGATCTTTCCACACTATTACTGACGGTCGAGCTCTACAATGGCGGGTAAATGCGGAGGTAGGTGAACGTGCATCGTTTTCCTCAAAGACGGCGCCGTTAAATGTGAAATTTGTTTCTTAGAGGGGTTGCTGTCCCGATCCAAAATTCAAGTGCTGCTGTGACGACTCTCCTCAACAGCGAACATGTTTCGTTCCCATGCAACGAATACTGAATGGTGACCTTGCAAGCTTTTTGGCGGACATTCTCGAATCACAAGGTCACGACTGAATGGCGACCTTGCGATGGGGGGATGCCCGGGAAGGCGCTTACAGTTGCCTGCAGTTGATCAGCGCTACAATCTGTGTGTGCTTGTAGCGCCCGGAGCATTCTCGAGGAAGCCATTCGGCATGAACCAGCATTCTAATGAGTAGAAATGGAGATTCCCGTAGTTGAAGCATGAAGTTCCTGCAAAATTAAACAAGCCCTACGCTGCAGCACTGGCTGCAGCACTGGCAGTGAACTGATGGCACTGCCAGTGCAAACCGTTCCCTGTAGTAAGACGTATTTATCTTGATGTACAACTGTGCGGTGTTCGTGCGATAATGCTTATTTCTACTTGCGTCCATCACGTTAGCCCACTGACAGTCGGTGATTTCGTGCTGTGGGGCTCAGTGGAGTAGCTACCTGTTCAGGTGACTGTATGCTTCAACATCTGGTTTCGAAGACCCAGGGTTTAGGGTTTAGTGCTTAGGGTTTAGGGTTATTCCTTTTTTTCATGTTATCTACGAACTGCCAAATGTTGTTAAGCTGGTTCCCGCTGACTTGAGCTGTAGCAAGTTGGTACGCTTATTTATACTAGCGTCCAAGCTGGCTGCCGGATGTGGGCTTAACAATTGTGTACAATTGTGTACAGTGGTGGCGGATGCATAGGAAAAGGGCCCGTGTCAGCTCGAGTGTGTGGCTGCCTTGCAGAAGGCGCCGCAGCAAGAAATGATAATTAGAGAGCTGTGTGAATATTTCAGCTGCTCAGTTGAGTTGACGAAGGGCAGCGGGTGAGAACGTCATGTGCGCGTTCACCTGCATGTCTGAAAAAGGCAATGAATGCATGCACTTAGTAGTAGTAGTAGGAGCACTCTTTTATGGTAACTCTGCAATTACCCGAGCAAATAGCTCCAGTTTCGTGGCGCTCGAGGTCACAGTCGTGGTTGCGACAACAGGTTAATGTAGCGCAGGTTAGTCTGACGTCTTAGCCACTTTTTGTGACCTGTGCGCCTCACCTCCTCATGGTCATCTCTAGACCGTTCGAAAAGTTAGCTCCAAACGCACCAGGATGGGTTGTCGTCTACCTGTAAACGGTTCACCACTCGCAAATATGAATCCACTGGGATTTCTTGCATATTGTCGAAACGTGTGATCTGCAGCTACTGCCGCGACAGACCAGCCCAGTTTCGCATGTCGATGGTAGCAGGGGACAAGCCCGTTAATGTAGGCAAGTGTAGCAAGTATGGGAGGTGCGTGGCTGGGCTATGCGTTCTGCATCCGGCACGGAATAAACCTCAATCTCCACCTGCAAGGCTTCGGTGAAGCGTTAGCGACGAAGTGTCTCATGGCGTTATCATCTTGAATCAATACATTGCATAAAGCGGCCACCTTCTGCCAGGCCCAGCTAGGAATCCAGACTCCCTACATTTTTTGCAGGAAATGTGGCAGTTGCTGGTTCAGGAAAAAAAAACATCCGGGATCTCTGGGCCCACTTGGAAAGCAGAGATTCCAAGATACAGACGGCGAGCAAAATGAGGCCATACGCGAGGAAATGCAAGGTTGGTATAATATATTATATATATATATATATATATATATATATATATATATATATATATATATATATTATATATTATATATATATTATAGTTGGAGAGCAATTGTTGGTACCCAGAGGATCTCCCCACTACTTATCTGCCCTGTTTGACGACCGAAAACAGAGTGTGAAATGTTGACTCCTTAATGGTAGTATATCCAAAAGAAAATGCCGAGCAGCAGCTTTCATTAATGGAGCATCGTGCTGTTGGCAGGGCGTCAATTTGATCCGGTTGCTACAAAGCATTTTGCTTTGGGCCTACCCTTCACTTCGAATCAAATTTTCACTGACCGTTCGGTGTGAACCGTCGAGCTCGCTAGAACAAGAAACTGGGGGATGGCGGCAAAGTCTGGCAAGTGATGCCTATTTGCAGCTTCCTTTTGTCCCCAGTGCCTGATGGCAGACTCAAGATACACGAAAAATGATAGGCTCGGGAGCTTAAGAAATTATCGTTGGAAGCATGCTGAAGAACCTTTCTGCAGTCATGCAGTGGAACGAAATTGCTTGCATCATGCTCGCTCTATTATCGTTACAAAACAGGCGGGAGCACGCACCGCGCAGCGCACAAATAATCTTGAAAGAGTCCCCCCACAGGGGGTTTCAAGCTGAGCAACAACTGTGCAAAGAATCAACTCAGTAACGCAGATGTTCCTCGCGCTTATCGCTTTTCACTCAAAAAAAAATTGCGACAGAATCTAACCGATTCTTAAAAAGTGCTAAGGAGGCTTGCTAATTCCCCATACAGCTCTAAAACTATTCATATTTCCTCCTTATGGGCCCGAACCACCTATTAGAGTCGGTATTACAGTGGGTGCATCCACGAAGCGGCGTTCACAAAGCAGCAAAGGTGGGAAATGTTGCTCCTCGCGACTAGCAGAAAGGTACAAAGGCACGCTGCTGGCATGTTGCCTCTGCAGTGCAAACAGCCTTCGGAACCTTCGCAGCCCGCTCTACAGGTTCCGCTGTGCCGCTTCTCTCTCAACAGAAGCGAAAAAGTCATCGGCCGATAAGGCTGCTTCTGCGTTTGATGCAGAAGTTGGGGCGCAAGGCCCCTTGTTCGCGCTCAAGCTGGTTGTGCCACCGCCTCCACTTACCGCCATTAGTGGTGCCGGTGCTGCCGTCTGAAGGCGCATAGTGCCATTGGAGCCTCTACTAACGGCGGACGTTTGACCCCCCGTGAAACGCCGCGGAATTTCGCCCTGCGCCGCGGCGCGCTGGGTCATTTTCCCCGCAGAGTTGTTGAAAATGTCTTCCCTTTGCAGAGCAGCGGCCCCACTCGCGCCGCTCCCAGACGAGGGAGTTAACGACTGCTTCCCGGTTTCGAAACCGGGAATTGTTTCCCACGCGTCTGCTGGAATCTCCATATCGTCACCTGAACACGCAAACACCCATCGCTTTTCATCTTTCTCTGTGGTGAACCCCACAATCTCCTAGTCGCAAGCCGATCAAGCAACTAAACTGGGCATATGGCCTGTGTGTTATCGCTTCGACAGCCAGGAGAAGTTCCATGGATGCAATCTCGGGAACGACAGCGAATTCAGGCTATTCAGGCTAAATGAAGTGACTTATCGCTTACCCCACGAATTTATGGGTTCACGTGCATCCTTAAAGTCGTCAGTTGACCGGCTAAGAGGCGAACTGGGTAGAGGGGCTGGAGGTGGCTGCGGAGGCTGTGCTGGGTGGCAAGGCCTGCGCACTCCAGTGGGGGAATTATCTCCCATAGTCATCAAAGATGCAATATGCTCGCTTCCGGCCTTGTTTTTATGCAAGATAAGTTCCGTCGAATCAGTCTGTCGCTTGCTGAATCCTGCGGAATCGACCATGCATATCAAAGTCAACGCGGTTACTTCACTNTTACTTCACTACGTGGCACTAGGGATCCCTTGTACTGCTGAGCTCTATCGTCATCGGCACGCACCTAATGTTATTCCCAGGCTCTTCATTGCCGCCAGCCACCCATCTGATGGCTTGCATTTGTCTTTGTCTTGGTGTGGGCGTTCTCCTAGAAAATCAGCAGGTTTCGGCAGCCTCACAGGGGGGTCATCGATGTGTAAGAAAAGCCGAAAGCACAACCGTAAAACTAAAACGAATCAAGTACTGGAACTACGACAGATGTTTACCTGCTTCTGCCCTCTGGTGCAGTGGTTGTTGTTGCTCTTCTGCCCTTGCTTTTGCTGCATCAGTTAAGGCATGGATGCATGCAGGGGTTGAGGAAACAACTGCTCCTGACGGCGACAGAAAGCACGCGGAAGCAGCAGCAAGCAGAGTCACCAACCCTGCCAGTGGCAGTGAATCCGCACAACAGATGCTTGCCTGCATGGCAACATAGAGGCAGACTTGAGGAGATTCAAGACCCAAGAGGAAATGCCTGCAAGCATGCAAAACGGGAGTAACTCAACCCAAGCACGCAATCTGAATTCATGTCGTGTACCGCTGCAGAATGCAAAATATGCATTACCTGCAACCCGGCCAGTCGGACGCTTTCTTCTGGATCTCGAAGTGATGCAGAAAGGATGTCCACTAAAAGAGGTGGAGACCCGCTTGTGCCACTCTCCCTAAGACTCATTGCTGCCGCAGCCGCAGAGACAACAGCCTCAAGGCGAACTCCGCCTGCGGCGTCTCGCAGCCTTTGTTCAAGCAGCGTAAAAGCAGTAGATGTCTAAAGCGCCACAATAACCGAAGAAACACATATTTTCCACACAAGAACGGTATGTAGTGCTCTCTGACTGCTGAAAAGTTACCAGACGCGCACAAGATGTCTACATCATCTACACTGTCACCGTAGTCCTGGTCCCCAAAAGGAAAAGGCCTGCGAAAATCGGACCTGCTAGTTCAGTGCTCTTCCCAGTCTAAGGGCCCCATTTACCTGCGGCGCCTCACGCGGAAAACGCGAAACATACAGTGACAGAATGCGTGAAGTGAAGGCCCTAATAGGGGGTGCGGAGTCTTCGAGGCCAAGCGTCAATGACGACCATGTGCGACCGAAAAACTCGTCCGGTAGCAAACTCTGCACTGCAGGTAGCTGGGAAAGCAAGGCAAATCTGATCAGCCGCACACGCACAGACGTATACGAGCAATAAATCGGTGAGATCAAGGCCTGAACTACTCAGATGCAATCAAACTCACCGGATGGCCCTATCCGTGTTGTCAAAGGCATGGGCCAGCACTTCTGAAAGCAGGTGGAGCGGTACCGCCTCCTCATCCCTGGAGCAGCTGTTGCGGTCTAGCAAGCTTCCTGACGGAGTAGACAAAGGCGTTACAATTGACATGATGCACTTGAGGATGCTACAGTGATAAGCCGATGCGCTGCTGTTCATGAACAACAACGCCAGCTCAGGCAGTAGCAAGTGCAAAGCCATGCCATACGGTATCGTTTGTTGTTGGAGGGCAGCAGGCAGTTGCTGTTCAAAAAACGTCTCCTTGTCCACATGGCTCTTAACAGGGAAAGCTCGGATAAACGCCAAGAACTGGCAACAAACATCCCCTGCCACAGATAATTCATGCATAAAAACGGTTAAGTCTAGCCAAAATATGATTCACTGGCGGTGTTGCATAGTGCAGGTCAATATTTCCTATGATGCTCGACAAAGCCACTCCTGATATCAAGAAAGAAGCACTACGTAGAGCAAGAATTAAGCAGAAAGCTTGAGTATGTGCGCTCAGATGCCTGCGAAAAAGCTACCAATCTCGCAACTGGTCTACTTGCGTAGTTTGCTCAACTAAAAGCATAGAACGCGTGCCTGTAAAGCATGGATCGCCTCCATCCACCAGCTTGGATAGTGGAGGCGCGCTGTTGCTGGAATCCAAGATCTTCCGCATCAAACGCTGGAGGGGAGGAGCCAATTTGTGCATGGCCTTGTGAAACGATGCATCATTGATGCCAATTGCGAGCCCGTAGGAAACAGCATCAGTTCGGTTAGACCGTAGAGGCCTGGCAGAGCTATAAGGGTCCCGAAGGCACTCTTGCCACCAGGCAAAGACGGAGCAGAGGCCCCACCTGAGAATAAAGAAACAGTTTGCGCCTGCAGACTATCCGCGAAGTTACGCGGCACAAACTCTCCTGGCTACGTCACGCAAAGCTTCGTCCTAACCTGTCAAGCGTGTCTGGCCGGGATCCTGGAGAGGGTCTTGGTGGTTCCCATCCCTGCGCTGCGCTTGCACTTGTTAGCATTGACGAATAGAACTCCGGCCACCGGACATCCTCCAAGGGGCGTGTCAGAACGAAGGAGCTCAATTTCCATTTTCCTGCAGATGAAATGCATATTGGTTCACCAAGTGGGCAATCGTTCTCATGCCATGTATGTGGATTTAAGGGTGCAGCCAGTGGCGCTGACGACGATCAAGTAGCCTTCGCCGAATTAGTTTAGCCCACTGCTTTTCTGAAACTGATACATTTTCACGCTTGCATACGCCTTACCATGTGGAGTGACGAAAATGGAAAAAGGCGAGACCTCGCCGTGAACAAGCTTGCACTGGTCGTGGAGGAAAGAAAGGCCCTCCGTTAACTCAAGAAAATTCCAACAGGTCTTGGCAGCAGTCCCAGCTGCAGCGACTGCTGCAGCCTCCGCTTTACGCATGGAGTCTGATACTGCATCGACTGGAGCTCTGGGAGGATCGAATTTATGCGGTTGTGGCAGCGAAGGGGGCCGTTTGGCAGCCAAGTCCTGCTGCTGCTGTTGCTGTCGGCTGAGGTGTACAACATGTACCAGGGAAAAACAGCATTCGGTAACAATATAAAGGGCATTGCTTGTTTCATATGTGGCAAGTACCTTGAGGAGGTTGGGATGAAGCAGTGTCTTGCACTTTGCAAAGTGGTTTTTCGCCTGCTCAAAAGTGTGTTGGGAAACTGAGCCGTTGCCTTTGAACGGTGATGACTGCTGTTTAGCACGTTTCAGGGCGAATACAGACACATGAGATGCGTTTCCTGCATTAAGCAATGCGTCCAAAATGGGATGCTGGCGACCAGCTCCTTCGGCAGCTGCGCCGGCAGATTGCTTTGTGCTTGTTGCAGAAAATTGAACGAACCCCCCCGGTAGCTCAAAACCATAAGGTATGGCGGATCCCAGAGAATAAGGAAAGCTCGTTGGTAGATCCCCCCACGATGAAATGCTTTTCCACAGAGACTGCAGCATCTCCTTCAATATAGGTGAAGGAGTGCCGCCTACAGCAGAGCTGCAGCCAATTACGGAGAACAACTCCGGAACAAGACCTTATATCGGGAATAGACAATACATGCACGTTAGTTTATTCGTCCTATGATGCTGGATTGGAGCAGCTTCAACTCCTGTTGTATCGAATGTGACGGGATGCTGCATGGTATGCTGGAGCGGTTGGTATAGGTAACTAGTACCGGCTTAGCATTAGGTGCCGAACCCAGTTAGGGCGGTTATCTAAGCTTACAGAAAAATAAGTAGACAAAGGCCACTAGTTGAGAGCGCCCTGAGTCCTTGAGATAAACACGACTGGTCCTCTGAACTTGCGTTTCATCTCAGTGTCTCATCCAGCCCCAACGGCTGTTACGTACTACGGGTAGGTTTTTTTCACTACGTCTACAGTATTAATTAACTTTCCACAGTTTCGCAGGCATTTCCAGTTGAAATCGCAAACTAATTTTGATACCGTGGATGATAATCTCCCCATATCCCTACCAACTTTCCCACTCCTATCCCGCCAGTAACTGCTGTGCCCGTGCACTGGACTGGTTTTTTGCCGCGGCCTTTGACAGCTACACACCGTCCTCTTCGGAAGCTCCAGCGGTTTTGCGAAATCGGTTGCCTGTGTTGTGTAAGACAGGTGACGATCGTTACCCCTTCCTGGGGTCACCCGTGTGCCCAATGGAGCGGCTCCCGCATCTTCCGTAAATGTCGGGCCTCTTTAGGAAGGAGTTCCCCCTTGATAGCTGGAGCGTATTTAACATTTCTGGAGGTGGCCACAGGCTACTAGGTATTGGACTATACTGTACCTTGCACCGACCCTCCCGCCAATCCTGCCGTCAATCCCGACGGGTACCACGCACAGCAGCCCAAAGGAGTGGGGCTGGTGGGGAGAGGGGGCTACATGTAGTGAGTTGCACCGCTCCTGGCTTAAAGTAGCGTCGAATGGCAACATAGCATGTAAGTCTAGCGAAGCCCACTTTGTTGAATGCGTCAACACTGTAGGCAATTGCTGGACACTCACTGGACTCTCAGTAGGCAGGCTTTGCGCCGGCAGAAGTTAACGTTCCAGCTTTAGACAAACGATTATGCATATGACCCTATCTTTCCCCCATGCGTCGCACACCCTCGTGCGCCTGGTCGTCTAGCAAAAGCTGGATGAACCGAGGGTAGGGCTTGCTTGCTGCGGCGGGCGTTCTTCCTGCGGTTCTATCTGTTACACTTCCTACGTCTCCTACTGCTGCGTCTCTCGGTGGTGTAAAGATACAGGTACAAAATTTACACGGACAATGATGTATATATATGTTCATGCACTGCACAGGCGTTTGGTTGGTGCGTTCAGTTTAACTGTTTTCCTATGAGTCACAATTACGGTCGATCCTCAGCCGCTACATGAGTCCACTCCAGGAGGGGCCAACGAGTTTCTGGTCCCGCTCAGCAATGACACTTTGCAGATAGCCGTGGAGCTGACGTGGTTAATGATTAATTGTGCCATTCCGTCCGCTGCAAATAAAGTCGAACGTGGGATGAATTGGGCATACCTGCTGAGTTAATCCGCGACAACGTACACTTTATAGCAGCCTCTGACTGCTGGTAAACCCACAATGAATCCCATTGGCATGCCAGCTAATCTCCGTTTGTTGATTGGGAGACTACAAGAGTCCGTTATTTCTGCGACTGTTTCGCCGATTTTGCCGCTGGAATTCCTGAGAAGTGAGGACATGGCTCTCCGATGCATAGTTGTGTTGGCTCCGCCATGGCTCGTTAAAACATGACCGTGCATTGTACGCAGAACTGTTGTTCTAAACAAAGCTAAGAAATAAAGTCTGCGGAGGCCACGGCTTACCCTCTACCACTAAGAGATTGCCGTCTATGTTATAGTGCGTAACGCTTTGCCTTTTGTTGAGCTTAGCGAGAGCCACAGCTCCGTGTGTAACGGGAGTCCCGAGGACAGTCAGCAGGCACACCATGCAACCGGATGTGTCTTGGCAAATCTTGCGGCGCTCCTGGGTGCAACTCCAGAAAAGCCCACATGCAAGCGTACGCAAGTTCCCTTTTAATTAATGCTCTAACACTGTGCGCAATTATTCAACGCTTAGTTAGCCGTCAGTAGACAACCTACATGTCCTACGTGTCGTGTAGCACCATCAGCCAAACCATGCTACAGAAGATAAACACTTACGTATCAACTGGCAGAATGGAAGAAATAAATACGATTGCTGCACCATCAGTTGAACAGTGTCCAGCTGCACCCACTCGGCCCACGAACCACGTACCTGGCTACATGAAGGTATGATGAAAAGCTCGACGAAAAGGAAGCAGAGTACTACACAGGCTGAGGAAGTGACCGCCACCGCAGCTTAATGACGTCTTCCACGTCGCAAGTAAAACGCCAATTAAGAATAGAAAGCACTGATTACTAAAGCTCAACTTTCAAGGACGAAAATATCCCGCATAACTCACCACTCAACAGCAGCGCAGTTTGCGCGACTACGGGTGGTTGTCCCAACTTTGTTCAACCCATTAAACAAAACTTTCCGGCATATCCAGAAGCTCCTGATTGTTATGGCTTCTACAAGGAAGCTCGTATTCAGGGGCGGTTAGTGCCAAAGCCTATTCGGCCGCCCACATGTTTACTTCGAGTTCGCCCGTTGCCCGAGTGCCCCAAGAATCGGTACGTACTAGAGGAAAAGAAGATAAATTTAGTGGAGACAGGGCCAGGTTGTTCTGCTCTTGAATAAACGAAAATATATGGTTTTATGTGCACTTCAATTGCTTCGGGCCTCACTGTTGGAGGCCTTCTGGTTGCCGTTGCCTTGAGCAACCCCACCGCCGCGGCTTGCGCGGCAGCGTTGTTCCTTGTTCCCCAAGCATATTCCGGACGATATAGTGCCTTCCGTCTATTACGGGGTCATTGTTAACATAGATTTCGTGGAGATCTGCACCTTCTAAGTGAGAGCAGCATCTATCCTGTGAATCTTTTGCCTTCGTCCGATGGGCGCGCAGTTGCTTGACCATACAATGCTTGGTCTGCTTGAACCAGACATAGTTGGGTTCGATGTAGGAAACCTACCACAGCTGGTATTATTAATGGGTCACTCGGCTTATGGTGACGCGAGGGTAGCACGTTAAGGGGGTTTCTCAGGCCGAACCACGCCAGACACCAGTTTTTGCAATGCAACGTGTTCATCAGGATGGAGGGAGATATTCAGACCAAAATGAGGGCGCAGCCCGCTTTGCTGCCCTCGTGCGGTGCAGTATACAGGAGGCGCAGGAGTGGTTGCGTCGCAGTGCTGGTTCTATTGAAGCAGCGCTGGATGGCTATCTTGCCCAACAACGGTCCTCAAAGCGACACAAGACATCTGCAACTTCGCCTTGTCCATGCAGCCCGCATTTAAATTCTGCATTCAGCCCGGTTACAAAGGAGTCTTCCTCTCGTAATTCTACTGGGATGGGGACGGGACGCCACGAAACCTCCGATGGAGCAGGTCCAGGTTCTCTTCCAGTTAAGCAGGCAAAAGTGCAAGCAGCTCGAGAAGCATCTGTTGGAGGCCCAGTTTTAATGATAGACCTTGCTGGTGACTCAGGTGAAGAAGATGTAACTGCGACAAGTGAAAATAAAGGCCACAATGCAAGCAACCCAGCCGGTGAGGTGCCTTGTCAAAAGAAATGTTTGGGGGTACGCCACCAATGGTATGCAAAACAGACCGGCGTTTTCGACATGCTGCATTTTTTGGGCATGGAGGGTGGTATATTGCCCTGCAGTACAGCTAAAATACTCATTTTGTCGAAAAAGTGTTCGCGCAGGCAAACTTGGGGACAAGGGGTGCAGTAGTGTTGAAGTGCAACCCCCTGCCTCAACTGACGTAACCAACGCTCCTGCTGTCGACGATCTTCCCAACAACTTTTCGTTTTGTCTTGGCGAATGCGTTGCAAGCGGCACCGTCACAAGCGGCACAATGAGCAGAGTCAGCCTCACAGTGAGTCGGTGCCTATTTTCAATCCGTGCTCCCGCCGCCAGCCTCTTAAACAGCCCGGCTCATCTTCGTGAGGATTTCAGGGTGCCTTGCTGAATAGATTCAACACCTCATGGGCACCGTAGGGTGTCAACGTTGTGCCATCACTGCCTCAGGATCCGTTAACACTGATGGTAGAGGTGCGGCTGCCGCATGCACAGCGGTGGGGACCACAACAGGGCTTACGGAGGGCTAAAGTATCTAACAGCGGCTACAGGATAGTTTACGTGCACCTCAACGACCCCATCCTCCTGGAGCACCAACGGCGCCTGGGGCAGCCGAGCTTCCGCGCCCGCCTTCCTGACGAATGTGCATTTTCCATACCTGCTCATTCGAATGCATTCGGGGGTATGAAAGCTGCGAACGGTTCCAGCCATTGCAGCCCTCTTGCAGGGTTGGATTTCCACAGCCTTCTCTCTAGCATCTCTGAACAGACAACTTTCTTGCGGCTGCTGATTAACGGCCGGGAAGCTGTACGCTTTGACAGAGAAGTGGCTAACGCCCTAGCTCCTTTGCTTCTGTTAGGGGCTATTAAGGTAAGACTTGGGACGCCAGCGCATTTTCTCTACGAACACTCCTCTTTTAAGCTGAATTTCCGAGCTCAACGTCTGGAACGGTGTATGCGCAGAAGCATTCAAAGTACCATGTTTGTCAGTTCTTTGTTGGATTGTTACGATTGCTTAGGTAGACGTCTGCTGGATGCCTGACAGAATGCCACCTCGCCGTCTTGTGGTTAACAGTACTCTCTCTGTACGCATGACTACGCATGTGACCCTACAGGCGCTTCGTTTGAGCGCGCTTCGGCAAAGGTAGCAATTGCTCAGGATACGACCTGCTGATCTAGGGCCGCTCCCGTTGAAACCTACCTTCGCAGAAACCTCTTAGAAGTACCACACTTTAGCTCAAAACCGAAGGGTGTCCTGGCAGATGAAGTGTTTTCTTCTTTTAGGTGGAATATTCTGAAGTTCGATGAAGTTTACATGGTTTTCCGGTGCTTAGTGCCCTGGTAGCCCCATGCGCAGATTGTTCTGCACATATATCTGGTTATCATTGCTGTTTGCTACCGTTTCTTTGCTGGATTTGTCTCAGAGGGGATCCGTACTTGAGCCAGGTTCACTTTCCCGTTCTGATTGGACAGGCATTTGAGTCACTTCTGAACCTTCTAGCAATGCAACCTGTGGCTGCTGCTTCTTCACCCACAGAGGAGGAAAATGATGTAGGTGCTTCGACGCTGAACGAAGATACTAAAATTCGCAAGTGTCTGGATAGCCTTAATGGACCCAAGGGGTCCACAGGATTATCTCAAACCGGAATAGAAGCAACAGGGCTTTCTCTTAGCGCAGCATCGCGTGCCTTCACCGAAGAAAACGAAGGAGGTGAAGATAGTGATGATACCAACGTCTTCGATGAGGATGACGAAGAAGTTGCGGAAAGGAGTGGTACTCTGTGCCAGCTGGTTTTGGGTGAACGGGCCGCGGCAGACCAAGTGCAATCACCACAACAGCGACGGCGCCGACTGGGAACTCTATACCCTCCAGCTAGTATGTTTGCTTCCCGCCTTCGCCCTTACCAGGCTCAGGGACTTTGGTGGATGCTTCAGTGTGAATCAGAACAGAGCCTATGCCTCGAAGATGAGGAAGAAGAGCTTGATCCGCTGTGGACAAAATATAATCTTCCCGCTACCGCGGCTGCCTGTGGTACGAGTGGTTCAATACAGCCTGGCCCTACATTGGTTATGGCCTCCTCTGTGGAATGCAAGCCAGCGAGGACGTTCGTCCCAAGGTGTTTCTACATAAATACGAGCTCAGGGCTTGTTTCACTAGAGAAGCCAAGTACAACGGGTCGGGTGAGAGGCGGTATATTAGCAGACTGCATGGGCTTGGGAAAAACTGTGCAAGTTCTTGCCCTCATTGCTGTTAGCGAATTCCAGGAGAGGGATCCTAAGGGTGCTGCTTCGTGGCTGGCAACGTCAGCGGGTGGCTTCGAACGCAACACGAGAGCAACCTCACGGACCTCAAGTACAGCAAGGCCCGCGAGTACCCCAGACAAACAGCCAGCAGCACCCGCTAACGAGTCGGATGCTTTCGCTTCATCGTCACTGTCTCCATCGCCAATATCTGTAAGCTCCGAAGGCGATTGTGCAGACCTGAAGTCTGCGAATCCAGGCGAACCTCCACCAGCAGTGGGTCGGAATCCTTTGTTGGCTGTCGACCCCCGGATTTTACAACGCACTCTTAAACGCGGTAGAGATGGCCTACTGCAAGGGGGAACTCTCATTGTTGTGCCGCTTTCCCTTATTGGGCAATGGTATGCCGAGGTGCAGAGACACTTAGTACGCGGAGTGGCAACGGTCTTGCAGTATTACGGCCCTGGGCGTCCAAGAGACCCCAGGGTGCTTGCAGCATACACCATTGTGCTCACCAGCTACCAAACACTAGCATCCGACTTCCGCCATCTATCAAAGCACATGCAGACGCAGAGAGGAGGCTTGAATCGTGAGCCACATTCGACGAGGACACTGGGTCTAGGGTCCATGACAGAGAGCCCGATTGCCAGCATCCGATTTCGGCGGGTTATTCTAGACGAAGGCCACATCATCAAGAACACCTCGTCGCTTGTTAACCGTGCATGCAATTCCGTGGAGGCTGATTCACGGTAACTTTCCCCTATTTCTTAGATTTGCTCTTCATACTGAACAGGTGCCAAGGTGGATCTGGACTAATTGCTCCTGGTTGTTATCGTATGGAACGTTTCTCAGTTGGATATTGACGGGGACGCCTCTGCAAAATGATCTTTCGGACGCATTCGCCCTCATTCAGTTTCTTCGCGTCTCTCCCATGGGTAGTCGAAGGTGGTGGAGGGCAAAAGTCACTCAAGCAATGGAACGAGGTACGATACGTTTGTTGGTGGACTGTATGGAGTGGAGAGCTTCGAATCCGTGGGATTTATTGAATGAGCTTGGACAACAGAAGTGTTCTCCTTGCAGGGATGGTGCGGGCAGCAATCCAGACAGTGCGGAGCATATTAGTTCCGTTGATGTTGCGACGGCACGGAGACCAACTAGGAGAGGATGGAAAGCCACTTTTGCCGCTTCCGCCGCTCACAATTCACACATTTACCCTACAGCTTACGTATGAAGAACGTCTTTTTTATCAGGTTTGTTGCACTCACACAATTGTCCCTTATTTATTTGTTCCAACCCGTTTAGCCCGTATAAATTCGGCATATCGGTAGCATTCGTTGCGGCAACGGCAGGAATGCTGAGGTGATAATGCTAGCTGTGCGGTGTTTTCTCAGACAATTTTTGAACATAGCAAGGCCAAATTTGACCAACTTGTTCAGAGTGGGCAAGTTCTGCAGCACTACACGCATGTTCTTCAGCTCCTCCTGAGACTGCGCCAAGCATGCAGTCATCCCCTGCTTCCGTCGCACCGTGAAGAGCAACGGCGCCAACAGTTCATCGATGCGATCTGTCCAGCGCAGGATCTTCTGAAAACTGGAGGCAATGATTCTCTCGTAGGAGTGCCTAATTCGCCTCCCGTAAGGCCTTAAATATAGTCTGCTTCGCAGCAGCTCTTGCCTATCATTGTTTACGCTTGTGCACGTAGCACAGTAGAGTACGCAAGAGCTTGCTGTGAGGCATACGCCGCACCTACTTTGACTACGCTTTGCCAGTGGGAAGAGAGAGCGGCTAGGTCCGGACCGTCACTCGAGCATATCCTGGTAGCGCATTGGCGTGGTTTGGCTTTATCCGTCGCAGCTTCAACGCCCGGCGCCCGATCCAGTTCTACACAAATACATCCAGGATGCTGTGGATGGCAAGCTCGAAGATTGTCCAATTTGTCTCGAGCCACCAACCGACGCAGTCGTGCTGACAAACTGCTGGCATGTGCTCTGCGTCGCCTGCGTGCTGTTGCTGCAAAGCAATAGCAACGGTGCAGCAGCAGCTTGCCCAACATGCAGAAGTAAGTTCCTTCATCAGCACGTTCGGCTGCTCCCGCGCGGGCCGAAGGCGGCTGCCCAGCGATGGATTCAAGTCGTGCAAAAGAAGCACCGTGAAGCGCTTGCAGCTACTGACACCAAGACAGGATCAAAGCATGAGAAGCAAATGGCGGTGCAGGAGGCGCAAATTGGCGCAAAGATGTGCTCAGCTTCACCACTTACTCCAGCACATCCAACAGTATGTGTCTCTGCGGATTTGAAAACTTCTGTTGCAAAGTCTGAGGAGGCACCTCAGAAGTTTTCTGACGACACATTTTTTTTCAGTACGAAGATGCGACTCCTTCTCGCGCTTTTGGAGGCAGATGTTACTGCTGGGAGGTCCTGCGTCATCTTCTCGCAGTGGACATCAATGCTTGACCTCTTGGAGATGGCATTTGCGCGAGTTGAAGCCGTTCGTAACACGGAGCAACCCCGTGTGTCAAGTGCCACCGATGACGATGATGAGGATGATGATGTTGTTGAGGTGGGAGTCGCCCTTGGCAAGGGAAATCTACCTCGCTTCCTATCTGGAGACCTCAGCAACGAGGTTGCAGTAGTGGGACAAGATCGCCCAGTTCAACAAGCAGCACCGAAGAAGCGGCTGTATAACTACCGCCGCATCGATGGAACACTAGGTCTAGAGGCCAGACAGCGCATAATTCAGTGGTTCTCAGACGACAGCTTGCTGTCGATGGCTTCTACAGTAGTTCCGTGTACCTCAAGAGCAACCGATGAGGAAGAAGCGCCATTTATGGGTCAATTTGATCTGCAGCCTTTCACCTGCACGCGCCACCCGACTGACGCTTCGCATGGTGGAGTTGCTCCCCCATCCGAGCAGTGCGGAACAGCGAAATCAACCAGTGGAATTAAAGGTGGTGTGGGCATTTCTTCCCCTCATCATGGGAAGATACTCCTGTTGTCTTTGAAGACAGGGAACGTAGGGCTCAACCTTGTTAAAGCAACGCGCTGTTACATTGTTGACGGATGGTGGAATCCTCAGGTTGAAAAACAGGCGATGAGGCGCCTTTGGCGGTACGGACAGGTGAGGCCGTTGTTCACTTCAGCTGATCTGTGCCTTCAGACTTGTTCATTTGGAAAGCTCGCAAGTGCGCATCGTTCAAAGACATAGATGCCTGGATTTGGTACAGCTACATTTGTGAATGCTGTGTATTGACAGGACCAGCCGGTTTCTGTCTACCGCTTTGTGTGCTCTCGAACGGTTGAGGAGCGGATGGAGGAGCTGATAGAGTGGAAGGGCCGTCTTTCGCAAAGCACTCTTAGCTCTGGTGATCGGTTTGAGCGGGGGAGTTCAGTGGATCCGGAGGAAGGTGACGCTGACAAGAGGAAAGGGCGCCTATCGCTGCATGACCTTAAGAAGCTGTTTGAAGGATGGGAGGCCGACTCTGGATCCACATAAATCCTTCTGTTTGGACACTGTAGAATTGCCTTTTATAGGGAATACTTCCCTGAGGACTTCTTCGTCGGAATCGTCGTGCTGCTGAACTTGAAGCAAAAGCGTTTGGCACTGTTCAGCTTGCAGAACAGTCTGTGCACGAAGTGGTACTCGCTCCTGAAAGAGTGTCCTGCATCATTTGAACCCCTGACCCTGCTGCTGGAACTATCTTGCGTACATTCGTGTAGGGATAGTGTTTTAGAGCATCTTTGCGCGCATGGCGCATGGAGACCCGAGTGAAACTTGCAACCTCCGAAGAACACGGAGTCTTAGGTAGTGACTGCACCCATTAGGGAGATTCTCTCGGCGACAAGCCACCTATGGCGCGATCACAAGCTGTTGCTGTGTCATGCACGTGTATTGGTTTAACATAAGTTCATGCAAAACATAGCTGATTTGACGGTCCAACCTCAACGACGGTCCAGCACCACCTGCCAGTCTCCGACAGGGCTGCTTCTTCACGGCTTACACGGATGAGCGGGGGCCAGATTGGAGTTGGCAAGTGGCAGAGGCCGTTAACATGGGGCTCAGTTGACAGGAATAGGTGATTCGAGACATAGACTCAAGCCTGAACGCCTAGCCATCCAAGCCAACAAGACTGCCTTATTAATAACTTCTATGTGTACTCGGCGCACGTAAGGACCAATAAAGAAGTAGCACAAAGGCCATTTGTGGAGCAGAGAGGTGAAGGCCCTATTGGCGCTTCAACAGCAGTACCAGAACCCCTTGTACTAGAGGTACTTCGTGTAATAACATTTCAGCTCGATGCCCGCGGACGGTGCGTGCACGTCCGGCGTAGGTGTGCTTGCCGCAAGGTTTCGCCTCGTCTTGTGCTTTATGTGCAAATCCTGTGGGGTTTAAGAGGCTCAGACAGGCTAGAATGAAGGCAGGCTACTGGTAAGTTCGAATGAGGGGGGTTTCGGAATGGCTTTCTGCATGTGCCACTACTATCTTGAGCCTCGTTTGATGCGCGAGATTAACTATAGACCGCCCAGACAAATCGAATTTACATCGATATTTGAAAACAGGACTGCACCTACCAACTCGTCAAGGAGCAGCCCCAGGAATACTGTACAGCGTCATTTCGAAATTGCAACTTGTCGGGGGGCGCCATGCGATCCTAGCTAACGATTTCCTCAGGTGTTTCTTTCTGCTTATTTTCCGCTAAGTGGCAACACCAGATTAAATTAAACCCTGCTTCAGGTTCACATCTCCTTGAGTACGCAGCCGACCCGATCCATGCATGGATTTGGGGCAGCGACTGCTGGAGGCTCATTCTAGGTTGCGGGGGCTTCGAGCAGAGCAGTAGTAGCTCATTTTGGTTGCTTCTAGCGCCTGATCGGACAATACTTCGTATTTCAAGGTGTACACATCATTTGAATTGTACTGTTAACCGGTTAGGCTCCACGGGCCCGCCTTGTAGGCGGTCTGCAGCGAGCATGCGAACGACCAAGACTCAGCAGGGGATAATAAGCTTGGCTGAACAGATTCAATGAATTAAATACCATGGCCTTCGTAGCTGTAGCCAGAACTTATCTCTTGACTCGATAAGTCATGGTGTCCAAGTCAGTCTGGGCCGCCAGAGTCATCACCTTCCAGAGCCTTTGAGCCACGGGCACCGGGGAAAAGGCATTGTTGGTCTTCGCCAGGGGAGCCGAGCATTCTTTATTGACTTGGAACCATTTGTTTCACTCCCCGTTTACTCAGAGGACGACATGAGGCTGCTGCTGTTGCTGCGGGGTAGTACCAACGGCAGGACCTGCTGTAGCCAAAAGGCTGATGGAAAGAAGCCGAGATATGGAGGCGCATCTGCGACCTCTTTCTCCCCTGCAGGGCTCTCCTGAAGAGGAATTGGAGGGGAGATCTGGCCTTTTTGACCGACATCCTCAGGAGCGTGCTGGTTGCGGCAGGTTCAGTCCTAATTGCACAGAACACATGCACCAAACCTACACAGAGAAAGAATTGGGTCCAGAGATTCCTCGAAGGATGCAAGTACCTACTCCAGTTCAGCTGTGCGCATCCCAGGGCCCCCAAACGGCAGCCGTGTTGACTTCTGCGAAGGAACACGGCTGCGCGCGTTCTCGGGCACTGAAGTCATTGGAGGCCCCGCTACAGCATGTGAAGCCTCTGAATTCTCCAGGTAATTTCGTTGCACGCCATGCATGCGGAGGCCTTTCTTCAGAAAGTTTTCCAGATGCCATGCAGCCGCCAATTGCGATACACGGACCACGTGGGGAAAATGGAATGTCTCAAGCTTGTCGCAGTGCACCAGGGCTGCACAGCTCTATGGTACACGGTAATTCGCTGACTCCAAGCTGCTGTAGCCCTGGGACAGACTTGCCAGCAGCAGACCCGGCAGGACGGTCATCAGAAACAGCACCAGAGGGCAGTACCTGGGCTATTAACAAGGCGGGCGAAGCCCCTGCTGCACTGCACCGTAACGAACTGTTGGTAGGAGGCTCACGCGGACTGATTGGAAGCTCTCGAGGGGAAATACATGAACGGAAACATCTTTGTGGGCCTTCGCACTTTGTTGTCACCAACTCGTTGCCAGCAGTAGGGCGTCGAAGCAAGGAGATGGGGGGCGCCAGAGTTGCCTCCACAACCTCAAGGCAAAACGATCCAACATCGCCCAGATCCAGCGCATGGTGCCTTCAAACAGGCGCAGGAGCACCATCACCTGCGTCAGCGGCGAACAGAGGGAGATTCTCACCGAATATGTTATCTACGGCTGGATCAAGGGTAACGCGCAGTCAGACAGCAGCTGCAGCGCTGAATGAGGTGGTCCGAATAGAAGATTCCTCTGATGAAGAGGCAGGACGGGGGGTCACCCACGAACATGGTATTCATTCTGCCGAAGCGGATCAGGGCAACTGTCATTCCACGGTTGAAGCTGCAAATGGAAGGCTCCCTTTAAATCCTTTGTCTGGACTTTCACGGGGGGTGATGGGGGGTAGAACTGAAGCAGCGGCTGCCTTTCTCGTGTTTGTGGCGGCGTTGGTTCGACCGGACGGGCACGGTTGTGTGCTTAGTGCCGAAGTGCTCAGCAGGGTTGCAGCAGAGTCTGCAGTGGTGCAGCCTCACCAGCAGCGCCGTAGCTGCAGGGAGGAGGCATCCACTTCAGCAGCCGAAGCCAAGGGAGCAGCACCACACAGGCTTGATGGAGACGGCTGCGCAGCAAAGGGTGTGCTGGTGTTGCAGGCAGATCCAGAGGATGGCTGCGTATCGCTTGATCTATGGCATCCGCCGCCAGAACCGGCTCTAAAGGTCTCTGAAGCCGGGCAAAAGCTTCATGCCGAGGCTGCCCTTGGCAAGCCAGTTGAGCTGCCTTCTAGCAGCATAGTTAGCCTCCTCTGCTTTCCCAAGAGCTTAATTTCGCACTTCAGGTGGTTAGGCCTTGGCGGTGCAGCGAGCCTTCCAAGCGTCCTGAAGTCAGAAGCAGACGGCGAGAAAGGAACAGCTGGGGGCTGGAGTTGCTGCAGCAGAGCGGTGTGTTGTTGCTGCTGTCGTGGAAGTACTACAGATCGCAGGCGCATGTGTGCAAAAGACAAAGATAGAAATCACGCGATAGCGCACACAACAATGCCGGGAGATAAGCCTGGAGAGGGACAAACTGGCGTGGGTCGTCCCCACTGTAGGGGCGACAGACTGAACTTACAGACCATCGTTGACCATAGCTGTTCCCATCGAGGAGAAAACTCTGTTCCACCAGCTTCCGGGCTATTCGCCTTGAAGAGTGTTGCTGTCGCTATGCGGCGCTCGCCGTCAGCGGAAGCAACGCAGCCCATTAGCGCGCTGCCACGTGAAGGTACGTCGACAGCTAAAAGTGATGCGTCTGTGGCTGGCGAGTATGAGAGGCACATAACCATGAAGAAGAAGAGATCCAGCACACGCAGTGGGCCCAAGCACAGCGGTTCAAAAGAACACGAACGTGTGGGGCAGGCGTTGGAAAAGCGTTCTTCCGGTGGCCACCACAGGAGACAATGTAGGAGCAGCAGCGCAAGCAGACCGAGCAGTTCCACCCAGATTAAACCGAGCCAAAACTGCAGGCGGGAAGGAAGGGAACGGCCCATTAGGGAGGAAGGATCTGTCCCCCAAGGAAACGGAACTAAGAGTCATTCCAGCCATCCCCTTTCAGTTGAAAAAAAGGAACAAATACACGGGATTTCCACCCCGCGCAACGCCCTGATTGTGACGGACGGAAAGCCTTTACATGGCAGACTACTTCCCCAAAGCGACGTGGCGTCTTCACCTTCGTGTACTTCCACTCACTTCGAATCTAAGAGGGATGACACAGCTAAGAAGAACAAGAGGGATAGCAGCAGTAATCGATACGGCACTTCTGGTAGTGCGGAGGAAAAGGATATGGAGCGTCAGCAGCATTTAGGCGAGGGACCTTCGACGTTTGGGAGCTTGTTGGCCTTGGGCTCAACTCGAAGTAAAGAACAACAAACAAAGGAAAAAGGGGCGCCACGGGAGCATCTTCCCGTCAGGGAATTAGGACCTGAGGTTGCGTCTGCCCACGATTCAAAGTTGCATTACGGCCGCAGTCTCAGCTGCAGCGAATGCCGGAAGGCCTCAGGCTGCCACGCCTCTTCACAAGATGGGCATGCTGTTCCCGTCCTCTGTTTGGAGCTTCAGCAGTCTCAGGCAAACAAGTTATACTGCAGCGATCTGCTGCAGAAGGTACTTGACCAGGAATGGAGGAATAGCATGCGTTGCGTTGCTTCGTCCCTTCAAGAGGGCCAACTCACCGGAGGAAATTCGCCGGACGCGATATGCAGGAGCTCCTCTGAAATTCCAGATCCCCAGAAACCCATAGCCCACACCAATAGCTCCGGTCATGGGAGGCCCCACACGAAAATCGAAAGAAGTAGTAGGGACAGCAAGCGCAGGGGGAGAAGCGACAGTAGCAACCGCGCCAGCAGTCCCAGTATCAATGGCAACAGTTTTGAAGGCAGTTCCAGCGTTAGCAGCGGCAGCACTAAAGACATCAAAATTGCCAATGGCCATTGCCACGCTTCCGGGGAATCTCCCGCGGAAGGCAGCAATGGGCATTCTGACCGACCTCGTTCCAGCACGGGCAAGCGCAGCTCGAGGACACGGTCTTCCACCACCAAGCATGAGCGAAGTAGCAGTTCAAGGCGACGCTGTAGGAGCAGCAGTAGCAGGCGGAAGAAACTCCGACGCGAAGTGTCATTTAGTTCAACTGTAGCAGCAACGGCTGCTGGCTGCAGGAAGGAGGTGTGTCACAGTCCAGTGAAGGAGTCGTTGCCTCAGCGAGACGTTTGTTGCGATGGCACTGCTGGCAGTAGCTCCACGCAACTCGTGTATCGGAACATCGCAAGTTCTAACATAAATTTCACCGAAGGTGGAGCTTGTCAACATCTACATTTTCTGGATGGCAGCAGTACAGAAATCGCAAATTCGGCACCCGCCTTGGAGCCCTCTATAACAGGAGAGAAACCGTCTCTGGCAATTAAGACAATTGACGAATCTTCTTTAAGCACACCTATGGAGTCTTCCAAGAAAAGGGGCCCGTGGCTACTCCTTTGCATTGGTCCTGCCTTGCACGTTACTCCTTCAGCAGAGAACTCAACAACAGCAGGAGAGGGAGACCAAAGTGACTCTCACCTTGTCGAGGCGGCGCCAGTTGTGCAAAGCGTGTGTCGCTCAACCCATGAAGACAAAACGGGCAACGGGAGCGGAACCAAGCTACGGCTGTGTGAGGCGGAAGTTCCCGCTTACTGCAGGGATGACTTCCTATCTCTCTTCCAGGTCCTTCTTCCATCGAATCCCGTATCTGGAGCGTTTTTTGACCGCTTCAGGGGGACGGGGCTTGCTTGCGAACCTACTAACGTCGCAGATCTTCTAGCATTCTTTACAGGCTGCATCGCAGAGCATAAAGAGGCCCCTTCAGAAAACCAAGAGAACAGCGGTCAGGAGCTGCCAAAAGGCCAACCACACGTCTCCAAGGTGTTGCACAAGTTTTTGATGAGTAGTATTGGACCCTGGAAAGCATTGTGCAAGGGCAGAAGGGCAATTTCTAGTTTCTCGATTGAACGTTTGGTCTCCTGTTGGAGTGCGCGGGGGCGTCGGGCTGCTGTAGACTCATCGATACCTGGTGGAAGTGAGGATCCCACGAATTTGCCGTGTGATCCTGCAGCGCCTGTCAGCAGATCTGCGCTGCCCATAGCAGATATTAAGGGGCAAGCACCAGCAAGACCAGCGCCGGCTGGGTCCCCACCGGTATTTGATCTTCTGCTAGACGAGAGAACTTTACGGCGCCTCAGCGAAAAGGAGTTCTTGGATGATACTATCATCGATTTTTGTCTAGGCTTCATAGTTGACCATGTGAGCGTAGTTTTTTCCCCATTTATGGTGTATTACTGTATTTTGCGATGCAATTCAAAACCATTTGTCTGAGGCACTTGAGGAGCAGTTGCGCTAACAATGAATTCATGCTTCTATTTCCAAAGGAAATGGCCATTTGTTGTAGTGGTTGTTGGGAAGATGTTAATGCGCCGCTTGTTTCGGATGGTTATATTTGTCGTTTGTTATGACTGAACTTCTGCCTGTGTTTTCCCGCTTTTTTGGATATTCTGCTCATTTGGTTGCGGTGATTTATCATTCTCTGGCCCTAAATCTGCAGACCTGGCAGCTCTTAACCTCTGTATGTGAGTGCAGATTCTGACGCCGGAGGAGAGGCTTCGTGTGCATATTTCCAACACCTTTTTTCTCTCTGCCCTTATGGAGCAGAGGTGCGAAATGGAGGCGCATACTCGCTTGACTCGATGGCTCAAAAAAGAGCTCACACCCCTTCCCAAGAAGGACTTCATATTTATTCCTGTTCACCACAAACACCAGCACTGGAGTCTTGCCGTGGTAGTTTACCCATGGCGCGCCATCAACCCCTCCCAAACCAACGCAGAGGGTGGGACTGTACGGACAGCTGAGAATTCTGTCTCTAAACCGGAAATCAGCAAGCCTTTGGACGATGTCCAGCAACTTTACCCACTGGATATGCCTACTCACCAGCCTGGCATCAATGGATCTCCGAAAAGCCTGGCGATAGGAAGGGTTGCACCCTCCCTAACGGCGAAATGCCGAGGCGTCGATGTAGCGCATGCATCAGCTTCCCTGAAGGCTTCGGGGCAACACGCACAAAAGCCTTCGCGTCAGAAGGCTCGACTGTTTCACGTAGACTCCATGGGCCTCCGCAGCGTGTTTGACCGCTGCCGTGGCCGGCTCAAGAGGTTCCTGCGGCAAGTGAGGGATTGCATTGTACACTTACTGACAGAAATGCTCACAGAGGATACGTACGCGTATAGAGACGGCGCGTTTCCACTATCATGTCAAAACCGGGCTTTAGCGATTGGTCTTTACACGCATGCTTGCTCGAATCATCAAGTTCAATCCTGCCTGTTTTTGTGTCCTGTAGGAGTTCGAGCATCGGTGTGCAGGTGAACTGAAGAGTGGCGAGAGGGTGGAGCTGTGTACGGATAGTTGTTGTTGGCACGATGGCCACAGCTGCACCTTGCACACGCCACGTCAGCAGAATGGGTACGATTGTGGCGTATTTGTAATTGAGTATGTGTATTTTCTAACGCGCAACCTCAATGCAATCGAGACACTGCTTGTAGGTCCGTCGCGTGATTGCCAGTTACAGCAGCGTTATGCTCAACAGCCTGCCGCTGGCTCGATCACCCCTAGTACCTATGGCTGCCTTGGCCGTGTCGATGCTACAGTTGAGACTAAAAGGCAGGGCAAGCTTCTCGAAGCTGCTTTAGGCTTCCACTGCCCTTGTATGGAAGCTGCGTTACCATCGCAGTTGCCCATAGGTGCCGGATCAGCATTTGGGCTACCTTACAATTTGAAAGCTCGCTTGGCTGAGCTTAGGCAGGCACACGCAGCACTTTTTGGGTCTTCAAACACTCTAATCTCCAGGCAGCGAGAACTGCAGCTCCAGGCAAGCGTGCAGCCGACACCACCCGGCGCCTCTCAGGGGAATGGCGCAAGCCAAGAATTTACTCCCCAGCCAGCGGAGAAGACTCGTTTCTCGATGAGGCCGCGTGAAGCGCCTGGGCTTCATGGGAGACAGGATTTGACAGCAGTGATTCAACTACCAGATACTCACATCACCGATGGCAGAGCTGCGTCAAAGCAGCAATGCCCCGCGTGGGGCCCGTTACCGCTTTGTATCAGCAAACGGAGGTCTTCCCACACGAAGTGGTTTTCACAGAACCGCGTTACTGAAAGGTGAGAATGAAAATCTCTAGAAAACTATATATACACTTCCACACATTTGATGCAGGTCTGCAGCGAGAGATGTTAGCGGGGGATCAGCAAGGGGTGTTGCGAATGGCATGGACTGGGAGTTGTTGAATGTCGCAGGCGGTCGCAGTTACACAAGATGTTGCTGTTCATGCGACAGAACATGTATTGGCGGGAGGACCCGAAGCTTATCGCGCACCTCAAGTCGGTGTTCTTGAGTATTGACAACTCGTGACATCAGGCGTTCTAAAGGGGATTCGGTAAGGGAAGCCGTCAGCTACTTTTTACTCACTTGCTCACTACTTGACTGCAACCAGATCTCTGTTCTCTGCAGCGGCCCAAGAGGTCTGCGGGACTGGGTTGGATGTCTTTCTTACGATCAGCAATGCAGCGATAACGAACGAATATTTTTCAGCGAATTTTAACGTAAAGCATTTGAAAAAACCATCTTTTTTGTTCTTACTTCTAATATTTTGACAAATACTGCGTTTTCAATGCATGCAAACCTTATATAAAAAGACTTTGAAAAAAATTGCGGCGTTTGTGAGTTTTACCCCAGTAGACACAATTGCGTCCTACATGGGGGCTCAGCGTATCCTGAAAGGAATGCTCCAACACCGGGGACTGATCGTTTCATGCTTGGGAGGGGTGCTCCTCTCTGTCCAACAAATAGCTCTTCAGCACGACTCATGCCCCCCCAGTAACTCCATAGGCGGGGCGTGGGAGTTACCACAGCGGCCCACGGCACTGTCACATTTTGCGGAAACATAGGTTCACTGTCCGGGAAACAGCCATAGTGTCTGGGCCGTCTGATCGGCTGTGGGTTTGATGCCGGCTGCATTCTTGCCCGCTGCAGTGAGAATTGCTGCAGCCAATTCCACTCTTGTGGCGCCGGTTGCCACTTCCTTATCCACTGTTGGTGCATTTGCTGGTGGAAAGGCTGGCAGTCAGCTGTGAAAACCTGAGCTGGCGGGAACTGCGGGTAACTAGAACAAAGCAACTTCTGCTGTACTGGGAAAGAGGCGCTGCAGGGGTGACGACGCTGTGGATGCAGCGCAGTTTCGGCAGGCTTCCCCTGGCCTCCTGTAGTATGTTCAAGAGTCCCCTGGGAGACACTAGGGCATGCGGTGGCTGCGTCGGATGCACTGGGGAACGTCTGAGAACGCCGCGCTTGTTGAAGGTCGGCGGTGGCTTCTGATACCCTAGCTCTACGACTTACCGGACCGGAGCTCATTATTTGGGCAACTGGGATTTTCTTTTCTGTGCTATGAAGAGTAGAAATGTCAGGCGTCTCAGCTGGCCAGGTCTTCAGAGTGACGGAACAAAATTGAGGCAGGCAGCACGTTTGGCGTACCTTACCTTCAGATTGTTGCAAGTAAGTTTGTGATTCCGTGTTAGTGCGTTCCATGCTGTGGACGGTTGATGATCCATCTTCGGAAGGGTTGAGTATAACTGAGGTTGTACTGGTGGTGGCTTTGTTTGCTGGCGGTCTCTCACGCACAACATCTTGCTGCTGCAGGCAGTTAAATGAACTCGACTGAGACGAATCGTCGGAGCAAATGCCGGCTCCCCGTCCAGTAGGAACGCCTTTTTGGCTTTCCATCTGTTCATCTACCATTGAAAAAGAGGAGCAGTTATTCTCTTGAGGTATTTCCGGTGCTTTTTGTGAGCGCTCGCAATATGGCAACCAGTCAGAAACTTTTTCAACTGGACAACGCGCCAAGCTTTCAGATGTAAGCTCTCCATGGCGGAGTGGCTGCGACGTTGTGCTGTGTAATATTTCCAAATCGTTGCCAGAGACGCTCTGCTTTTGGTGAACAGTTGAAGACCCATGTGGCAAGGATGAACGTGCACAATTGTCCCCGTTTTTCTCTTGTGATAGCTTTCCCCTGAGTGTTCTAGTTTCGACCTCGTCGAGTTCGAGCATTCCTGTGGGTAGCATGCAGTAGTGCAGGCCCATTTGCCGCACTAAGATGTTGTTTAGTAGCTCGAATTGGTGTTGCAGCTCTTGATGCAATTGAATAGCCTCCTGACGTTCCTCAGCACTGTGAAGCGAGGCTCCGGGCAATTGCTGCAGACACAGTCTCTGGCGCAAATTGCATGCATGCAGGCGAGGTGAAAGCCCTGCTTTTCCTAATCGTCACACGCGTGATTTGGACCAGACATCGTTTGTGTTGCACGTCCATGGCCGTGCCTAATAGCTGACCGCCATCTTAAAGCTTTCTGCGGCTCTCCTTAACCTGAATTTGCACAACATTAGGACCATATGCAATGTGCGACTGCAATAATCGGAGTATAGGTGTATAGACAGTGTCATGGTTGTTGTGTGTACCAAGGCCACCAAAGTATGTGTGCCTCACTCTTTCAGGAGTTCATATTGCCTCAAGAGAAACTGCTTTGGTGAGACACCGCCTCTCCTGATGGGTCTCTCCCGAAGGCAGGAAGCTCGCTGGGCGAAGTCAATTGCATGCAGCGAAAGCTGAGTAGCCGTGCATGCGGGATTTAATGTCACCAGCAGTACAATGCTTGCGTCGCTGTGCAGGCTTCTCTGCAAAGCCACCGCAAGCCTAAACGCGTCGTTGCACGCATATGACCGGCAATCTAAGCAACTGTGTGGCCTATCTAAACAGCTGTGTGGTCTATAAGGTCGTCGCACATAGCCAACAGTGCACAAGATTGAGGGGAACCAAAGCGTTTTAGCCTATCAACGAAAAGAAAATCGTGCTGGCTACAAAGTGCGAGCGCACTGCAAGGATGCGGGTAAGGTTTGAGTAGCGGTATGGAATGGGAACATCTGCTCCTCCAGTCCCATTCCCTTTTGCGTGAACGGTTGCCTGAATGCGTAATACAGAACAACTTGCTATTTTAGCCACTAAAGTGCCTCCGGCGGGCTCTAGTGGGCATGCGACATGAACGAACAGCTGCTCAAGACATTTTTGTCTGCAGAGCCTCGTAATCGGAGAGCCCTTACCTCCCCACGCCGCTGCTCCTCCTGCTTTACCAGCGAGCCGAAGCACAGACTGCAGATTCCCGCAACAATAATGGGGCGTTCTACCAGCAGGATGAGAGCTGCAGCTACTGCACCTGTCTCTGGCGCTCCTGCATCATGGATGTAAAACTTTACCTTAGGAAAAACAAAGATTTGTTGATTACTGTGCTCTCGGCGCAGCGAAGCTGAAATCAGCCACAGCAAACCAACTCAAGGAAATGAATAATCAGCCACATGCATTTCAGGTGGATGGAAAGCACCATCCTCCTGTCCGTTGATAGCCATGAAATGTTGTTGAGCATGCCTCATTTTATACAGTGAGTGGCCACCTAAGTGAAAGCATTACTTTCTTTGTCTGGACGTCTGTTGCACCTTCTGGCTGACGGAGCCTAGCGGCAGGGCAACGGGATATTCTTTCAGATCCAGCGAGATCTACAAGAGTGAGAGTGCTTCTGCCGACCTCTAATCGACTCTGCTTCCCCATGCACCATATTTCAGATGACACGACGAGCCGCGTGAAGACAACCACGTGCGATCTGCAACATCAAAGGACTGCGCCCTACAGACAGTACGGATGATCTGCCTCGCGCAATAGCACTGATTGACTGCTACCTAACTGCACAAACTTGCATCGAACAGCTTGATAGGCGCTACAGTAGCTGCAGGCCGACCTGGATGACTTGTTATTGTGGTCGGTGGAGGCTACCTTGCGTTTCTTCTCACACCTACGTGCCCGAAAGTACAGTAATCAAGACTGCAACACGGTATTACCAATTTGGAAGCTGATAAGAGTCCGAGCCATGTTGAATGTCACGGCACATTTGTAAAGCACATACAATTTTGCGGAGCGGCACGTCATCCAGTACTTACTGGAGCAGGATTTCCGAAAGTTCCTCGCAGTCCACCACAGTCACTTCGCACAAATTTTCTACGTGAAATGTTCCTGTATGGGGTGTCTCCTTCACCTATGTGCCAAAACCAAGAGAAAGCCTTCTGAGTCGGTGTCATGATTAACGTTGTAACTGTGTTCGAGCTAAATTCATCTGGAAAGTACGACGCTGCGTTGTAGGCGCTTCATCATGTGTAGTCGACCCCGAAGTGTAGTCGATGTGCCGAACTCTTAAATGGGCAACGGTGCCTTACACACACGCATCTTGGGGCTTTCCACTCCACTGCAGGAATCAACTTGCCGCAATAAATCGTGGACCTTCTCCAAATATACTTCTACAATGGATACGCGGACTTCGTATTGCTGAGTCAACCAAAGGCGGCAAGACTGCCTTCATATTCATAACTCAGTGAGGCCGCATTGGAACAGGGCAAACTTTTCAAACTAAAATTCAATTCAGCGTTGGAGAGGTGTGGGAAGGCCTTGATAGCACCAGCTTAGAATGTTGCTGCCACGTCTAGATGGAGAGATCAGTAACTATTAAGTACGAACTCGTCGAAGTGCATCGGCGCTAGCTTTCCGTATGGTTATTTCTGCACCACTTGTATCACGCTTTTAGACTAAGGCGAGCATGGATCTTCACAGTATTTTGGGAATTCAACACATTCTCTTTGTTTGCTGAGTGCTTGCGCACTCAGCAAGCAATGCGAACGAACTGCCTCAGAACATTCTAAGCGCCGCTCACGCATCACATATCATGGATAACTAAAATCCTTAAGACAACCTAATACAGGGAAAAATGCAGAGTTTTAACAGCCCCAGCAATCACTGTCCTATGCTCAGGGGGAAGAAATATATCCTTTGCATATTGAGCTCCAGCAATAAGGAGGGCAGTAAATACATAGATATAGATGATAATTGACAATAAATACTGCAGAATTTTTCGAGTTGTTGTTGTAAACTTATTGCAGTAGTAAGTCAGCCTATTCTACCTTTTAGAAGTAATAGTAGTCCCACACTACCTGCGAAATGTAGGAATCCATCGAGCCTGCAAGGAGTTTTCAGATAGCGTAGTGCTCTAAGAGGGGTCTGCATCTGAGTTATAAATCAAACGTCCAGTAAGCGAACTTACTAGGGAGGAGGCATGGTGCGTGCTTCCAGCAGCTTGTTCCTCATGCTTCTCAACGAACCCGAAGATATCTGTGGAACTCATAAGGTTCAAGACAGTTAACTCTCGATCATGTCTACGACTCAAAAGTCTTAGCATCTAGCATGCACCTTCGCCTCACCTTTCATGGATCGCATCAAAATCCCCTCGTCATTCGCGTCTCCGAAAACACTGTAGGACTTTCCGCTTCCTGTTTGCCCGTAGGCGAGTAGGCAGCAGTCAGTCCCTAGCAGCAAATCAGAAGTATGAATTGTTTTCTACCCCTTGTTCCCCTTATCTTCTGTGGTGTAATCTTTACTGTGCATCGCAGCGAGATTTCGGGACGGCAACTGCATGATGAAAGCGCTTTACGGTAGCAGAGTTCATCGGCTTCGCAACATGAACGAAAGGGTGTGCGGAGTGTGTATTATTCCTTACCTTCAATGACTTTCCGTACTAACGGGAGAGCCGCCCGCTCGTAGACTACCCCGGTGTCATCTGTTGAGTAAGACGCAATCAAGCAATACCTCCCTTACAAGAGGCAGCAACCCAAAACCCAGACAAGAAGCTCAAGCCCCGTTGTACTCTTTTGCCAAACTACTCTTTAAAAATTTCCTGTTCCCCGTGGGATAGCTCATGGCCGAATTATACTGAATTACGTGCTTTGGCTTGCCATTGCAGTCGAAGCAGCCGCTGAAGGACAGTTTGGGCATGCGCCGCAATCTCGTGGAATCATATTCGCAAGGGGGGGGCCGGAGAAACAGTTCCTTTTTATTGGGGGAGACAGACCAAACGCATTCTACTCCTCGAGCCTCCTGAGCTTGATAAGGATACGCAGAACTTGGCCTTGCGCGATTTTAATGCAAAATTTCAGGCAACACGCTGCTGGCGGCGCTGCGGGGGCGATACGTTGCACAATTCTCCCATTATTTGTTTATTCACATGCGTCAACGATATCAAAACTACCCTTTTGCTGTGAGGAATAGGTTTAAGGGCTTAGCCGAACTTCTTCTGCAGAGAGAGGCCGCAACCTGACAAAAACTTGGACGCGGGACGAAGGCTCTCTAGGGACCATCGTGGCGCGTTCTGATCATGATGCAGATGGCGTGCTTGTAGATAATCTAGAGTCAGTCGACAAACTGCCTTTAACGGCAGAAGTAGGTGAGGTGGCCATCAGGACAGCCCGTCTAGGCCAGCGGGATCAGTGTAGTGCATGGGCACTACATTGCTCAACAGTCACAGTGACGTATAGGGTACGTCGCTTTAGAAAATA